GTTGCAGATCTCAACAAGATCATCGAGATCACATCCACTGAGGCGAAGCCTTCGGGAACGTCGGCCGTTGTCCCTGCTGCTGCAAAAGATGCACCCGCCAAGGCCGACCAAGAGGGGGAAGACATGACTTCATCGAGGATTTCGACATGGAGTGTGGTTGGTGGTGATGAATCCAAGCCCAGCGACATGACTTCTTCCAGGATTTCAACTTGGACTGAGGTTGGTGGTTCTGAAGCCACTGCCATGGACGTTGACTCTGAGAAGAAGGAAGGTGCTGATGCTGCCCGGGAGGGTGTGCCGACTGATGCTGCAGTTCCTGAGGCTTCTGCTTCTTCCGAACAGCCTGCTGACAAGACTGCCATTGTCGACCTGACCAAGACCGAGAAGAAGGTGGAGGTTGACAAGCCAGTTGGAAAGCCGGCCGAAAAGAAATTGCCGAAGAGTGAAAAGCAAAAGGCACCAGAGTCAAAGGCGATGCCCAGACAGAAAGCGCCACGACTCAGTGTCGAAGCTGATGCAGCCCTTCGCAAGTTGGAAGAAGCGACGGAACGCCAAGAGGGAGCAGTTTGGTTGGACCCCAATGACATGGTCAACAGGATTCCCAAGGAGTATTGCGGCCAAGGGCGACTGAGATTTCTTTCCACGAAGTTATCTTATGTTCTCAGGGGGCACGCATTGAGTTATGGTGCTCGCAGCCCAGACATCGATCCCATGGATCTGTCAATGGATTTCGAGGCTGTGATGAAGACGATGGCCCACTACGTCTCCTACCCGAAGATCAGTGAGGTCCTGTCCATCGTGCGCAACAGTGACACCAGGCGCTTTCAGGTGAAGGTGGCTCAGCCCGATTTGCCTGATGCAACCTGGAAGGGTTTGCCATGGAAGGTTGTCGCCATCAGAGCTGTCCAAGGACACAACCGTGCAGTGGTGGAAAATGCCAAAATTTCCTCGCTGGTGAAGGAAGTGTTTACTTTGGACCCAACCTTTACCAAGGCCGACCTCGACACGCCCAAGTTGCCCAGGACAAACCTTCGTCCAGACCTTGTGCCTGAGATGCTGGCTGCACTTCCAAGGGTTATCTACCATAGCTGCGACAGGCTCGCTATGGACAAGATAGTTGAACACGGCCTCATCCCAGGTGGCTGGCCCCAAAGAACGGGAAGGGCGCACAATTTCTTTATCGCGTCACACCCGTGGGATGATTCAGTTGGTGGCAGAAAGCTGGCGGGAACGCGAGCCGGGAAGCAATACTACATTGCCTTTGACACCGAGCTCATCGTCCAAAGCGGCTGCCGATTGTTTCGCACAGACGAAGCAATCATTAGCCCTGACTGGATCTCCAACGAGAACATCATATGCACCTATGATGCCGTCAACAGGGAGTTTGCCTGGGTCAATCGCCCCTACGAGATCACGCGTGTGGGGTACAACAACAAAATGAAGACCCATCGGGACCAGGACACTCCGAAGAGAGAGGCATTGTCAAAGAGCCCGTATGCCAACGCCAGGGACAGTTTGAAGGCCTACCTCATGAGCGGCAAGTCCATCCGACCTGGTCAGATGCAGGTGACAGATTCCAGAAGAGCTTCCCCCACTTCTTCGTCGACGTGAAGGAACTTCAGGACCCTTTGAGGACAAAGTGACGTTGAAGATGGCCTCCTTTGGTGCCTTGTCCAATGCCGAAACCATTCGCAAAGGCAAGGGCCGAGGAAAAGGCAAAGGGAAAGGAAGCCGCCCGGGAGGGCAGGCCCAGCGCTCAACCAATGCTGAAGATTACATCTACAGCTCAAAGATTGAGATGCAGCAGGTCCGATGCCACTTCTGCGGCGAGATGAACATTGAGGGCACCCACAAGTGTCAGTCGTGCTTCAAATGGCTGATTGCTTGGTCGGATGGAAGGATTGCGACAGAGGTATGCCGGATGGAAATCTCGGCCAAGAAGACCAACAAGGTGTTTTCTCTGGACAAAATCGATTTTGAGAAGCAGCCTCGAGCTCAGCGAGTATCCGACCGCACCCGAGCAGATCAACGTCGAGCTGGACGAAGCAATTTCGGAAATCTCAAGGACGCTGCTCAAACACATGCGGGAAGATACACAAAGCTCGGCTTCAAATCGATCCAGGACCGCATGGAGAAGGACCCATTTTATTTGTTCAACAATGCGGTCGGCCAGATTACCCCAGACTGTTGCCAATTTTTGGAGGATTTGGCAAAATGCATTGCCCCTGATGTCGGCCGTACCCGAGAGAAGCGAGAAAAGCAGCTGGGAACAGGTGTCAGCACTCGTTTGATTTTCATGCCAGACTTCAACAGAGATATCCGACTCCCGTTGGACGTCACCAAGGAAGCCATGGTTGCACATCATGCGAGAGTTTTTACACTCCCACAATTTGCTGTTCTTGCTGCGGACTTGCTGAAAGCGAGGGGGGAACCCACGCCGATGTTATTTGGTTGGTCTGGCTCTATGATGCCTGTGGATCAAGGGTCAGCTCAAGATTGTTTCTTCGACCTTGTCGATTTTGCGAAGAGGCAGTGGAAGGAACAATACAATAACATCAAGGGTGAAGAACACTCCTTCGTGGATGAAGCCACTGCATCAGATGTGGCTGAGTTTCCATTGGCAAGGTCCTCCAAGACGGGTACTGGCGAAGGGCGAGAAGGATACCGGCGTCACTTTGACCCGATTCAGAAGCCAGCCAAGGGCAAAGGCAAGGGTTATGGTCAGCAACAGCGTCCAATCTTTCAGCAGGCCATTGAGTGCTGGAAGTGCGGTCAGTATGGCCACAAATCCTTTGAATGTCGCAGTGGATGGAGCCGACGGCAACAGTGGGATTCGTATGGATCTTACTCAAGCCGCTCGGGAGGGCAGGCCCAATGGCAAAGCTGGAATTGGAATCAGGGCTACTCTGGCAGAGGTTGGACAGCTGATCCTTGGGGAAGATCTACAGCATCAAGCTCCTCGGCAGCGCCCCCAGAGCCAGTGCAGCCACCTTCAACAGCGACGCCTGTGCCTGACACAGCTCCTGCTGCTGGCGACCCTGCCCAAGCGGCCTCTGGATCAGCTCCTGCAGCAGAACCTCCGCAGCAAGTGCCGAGGATGCCGCTCGTGATTGCTGAGGAGTACCGCGAGATCAACGGCCAGCCGCACTTCAAGCGCACCTACAATGATGGGACGGTAGAGTTTGAGTCGTGGTAGATGTTTCACATCTTGTGCCATGATTTTATGCCTACCGGAAGGTTTGGCCGATTGGATGAAAGCTGACCCATGGTCATTCAGTTCAATCGAAATGCACACATTTCCAAAACTTGAAATTCCAACTTGATTAACTTGAAAACGTTTCCCAATAGCTTCAAAAGAAATTGACACCAGCATCCGATCCATGTAGCATGCGTGTACATAGCCGTGTACATAGGCCTGATACAGTAACTTTCAAGTTTCCAAGGCAGTGAAAGGAGTGGTAATGCTCCTATGCCTTGGCGGAAGCCAGGCCGATGTCACTTTTGCTATTGCCGTGCACGTACTTTGCCGAGGATCATCAAAATACATTTGCACCCGACTATACTTTTTGCCTCATGCATTCGAGCTTTGACCAACTATGCATCCGTAGGTAACTCGTTGTACAGTGATGTCTTTTATCCCTGCCCGATCTCAGGTCACCTCCGTCGGGCTACATCTTCCGTCCTCCGCGCAACTGCGGGCGGCGGGGGGTGTTTGTAGTTTGTATTGCTAGCTGTACATAGTGTAATGTGTTACATACCGTGATGCAATGGCTCAAGAAAACAAGTTGCGCTAGCTGGTGCATTGTGGCTTGTTAGCCTGTCAAACAAAAATTTAAAACAGTTGCCAAGGTGCCATCCAACACTTCTCGGTTGCTTCTTGGCGCTATGTTGTAATTCCTCCCGCTGCCGGTGCAATGTGACGAAGGGCGGCGGGACGCAGCCAAGAGCGAAGGGCGGCGGGACGCAGCCAAGAGCTCACACAAATCTCCGGCGCTGCAAGAACTGACCTTACGTTTGGAGGTGGAAATTGAGGACCCCCGCCTTGAGCAATTGCTTGAAGACGACCATGGAGCCCGAAAATGGCCATATAATGCCATCAGAAAATATGTTCCCAATATTTTCCAAACCCATTTTTCAATGGACGTCAGCTATGGCAGTTGCCTTGGCTGCTGAAGTGTCACATACTTTCACCAAAGTTGTGCACGAAAGAATTGGTGACAGCGACAGGGCTGGGAATGGTGACACATCAGGGTTGTATCTGGCTGGATATGGCAGTGTGTCAAAACCTTGTACCCCTGGTGAACATCAAAATAGCTGGTAAATGGATGTTCATTCCCCTAAAAATGGTATTAATAGGTATTGATCCATACCCATATAGCTGGACCTGGACTATGTTGGACCCCAACTTTCCAAAGTCTGGTGGCTTTAAGAATCTTCAAATGTCAAGGCTGCAGGTCATGACATCTTCAAGTGACATGCATTGTTTTTCACCGATTTGAGGGCGCGCGTGTGCTTCCCGGATCTTCCCGGCTTCCCATGTTTGTGAACATTTTAGATATCATCACCATATCAGAAAATCAACATCACTTCCAACCTAATTACGCCAAGATTTTTCAACATTATCCAAAGTTTGATTGTTGCTTCCACACACTCGGATGTAACGAGGTGCTACTTGTAGAGTGGAAGTGGGCATGGATGATAAATTGATATAAATTGCAAAGTTGGTCGGACAGTGGGCAGACCGACTGCATTTTGGGCCAGCTTCAAGTTATCCCAAATCACATTCTGGATCATTTTGGTACCTGCATTCCTGACAGAAAACATCAAACACATTCAAAGTTTCACTGGCTTTCACTTGACCTTGTCATAATTCTAAGATATTCCAACCCAGAAAAACTCATTCTCCTTCATGACTGTACCCAAGACCCCAACTATCCCCAAGTATCCCCCAACTATCCTTAGATCCACCAGATTCCACCAACATTTGGCTTTCGCCTCAGGACGGCCTGTCAGGATAAGTCTGTGGAGATGTGCCGCAAGCAGATGCAGATGCGATTGGAGCTGGATATTTTTTGGGGAAATCCAGGGGAGGTCAACTGAAGAAAATTTGGATTTTTCGTCAGCTCAGGAATTTTCCATAGTCAGTTGGATGTTGGATCAATGAATGATCAAGATGACGTTCATCCGTGGAAAATTGCTTGGGTTATCTTGGGTTGATGTTCCCGAAGTCACTGACGAAATGCGCTAAAAACAACTCTTCGAAGCTGGAAGGCAAGAGATTTTGGTGCCATCTTTCCATCTCATTTCGGCCTGGAACATCTGGGGGTATACATCGGAATACCCGGTGGTTTCCCAAAAATTCACCCCCAAATGATCCAAGTCATATTTCCTGGTTGGTGGTTTGGAACATGAATTTGATTTTCCATGATATATATATATGGGTTGTCATCCTTCCCATTGACGAACTCATGTTTTCCAAGATGGTTATTGCACCACCAACCAGATTTCAATTGAGTATTGAAGCCTATGGTGACTTGCGGAGCCCTGGAGGACGAGGAGCATCGACAGACTCGGCGACTGCAGCGCTTCAGGAGCGATGCGGTGATGTGAGGGGGTTGACGATAAACATGAACTTTATATGGGTTCATAGGGGTTTATATGATAATATGGGTTCATATGGATTTATAACTATAGGCAAAGGGCCACAGTTCACAATGGAATGATTTGGGATGGGATTGGTGGCTCGCACAAAAAACATGGTGTGTTTTTTCTTTTTTCACTTGCACTTTGGGTGGGCAGAATGAGGCCAACTTTGATTTCATAGTATATAAGGCATGGAAACCTGAGGTTTCGCCTTTTATCAGTTGGGAGTCACCATGCTGATTTCACTTCCATTGTTGCAGGTCGCATGTTTATCATAAGGAATGCTCAGGGCTTAGTTTGCAAGCAGTTCCCATTTTTTCACATGGAGCATCAATGGGCTACATACCCAAAAACTTCTTGGGCCCCCCCAGATAGTCACTCCAAATGAGAGAAGCTTTCTCAAGTCGCGACGTGACTGGAATTATGGCTAGGATTGGGGTAACTGTCCCCAAACTGCCAAAAAATCATCCTTATTTCAGGTTATTGAATGATGATTCATCCAGATCCAGAGTCTTAAGGTCCACATCAATTTCAGGTCAGTAGAAATTCCCAGGACACCTCGCGATGAGAGGATGCAGGAGACGATTCGCTACAGTCCAATGTAGCCCAACTTTCAAGCATGATTCAATGACTGCGTTGGTGGTTTCACATGGGATGTTCACCAAAAAATACATGGAACTAGACAGATTGAGCAACAAACAAATGGATGTGAGCCGATTTGGTTTGACTTTTTTTTGGGTTTCGATCAAGAGATCTTCCCTCCGCTGGTGGTGTGGAGCCAGGTGACATAAGTTTACCCCACACAGCATGGCCGATGCTTCCCTTCTAAGTGTAATCACAGGCCCAAGTGCCCAGTTCCAACATATTAATCCCCCCAAGTTCGGGATGATTGGAGGAGACTAATCCACATCTAGTACCATATTTTCACGCAGGGGTTGATTTACAGGGAACCCCTACTGCAATATATATGATTTGCACAAAGAGAAAAACCGGAAGATTTTCTGCAGATTTTCTCTTAACACAGCAGTCAGTGGCACCCCAAGGAGACGCTGCTGCGGCATAAGTCCTATGCCTTCGCCCTGGCTGCTAACGATGGGGCGCCACCAGGCCACACTGCAGTTTATGGAAATGCTATTAGCACACCAGGTCTCCCACCAATTTTTTTTTGGTTGTTCTGCAAAGGTTAGCTACGGAACCAGCTGAGTGCGCCACTTGAATGTCCCGAAGGCCCTTGTTCAGGCACCCGATTGTTCGTGGTGTCATTTCTGTCCAAAAAATGGCAACGGTGGAATGATAGAACCAACAATGCTATACAAAACTGAGAAAACGATTCTGGTGAATCTATTTTCCCACAGTTTTTTTTTTTAATGGTTTTTCTCTCCTACGTTTTCATCATGCAGCTATGGGATGATTGGGATGACTCCGCCAGGTTCCTGAAGCTCCGATGCCACGTTTCCGCGCGGGGATGATAGCTGACTTCGCAGGTCCGTGAAGTTGAAAGATGTGGATGACGGCAAATGGCTCCAAGCGGGTTTGTAGAAACGCAATTCCAGTTGTTTCAGAAGCAGTCCAATCCAATGTATCAGCCTTTTGGGACTTTTCAGATCTTTTTAGCCTTGAATCTCTTTTTGGAAGAACCCGTGTTGACACATTCTTGTGAGCCAAGTGCACTTGGCAAAGTGCAAGACGTGTGAGTTGGCAGAGAAAACAGACGGTGAACCATTGGACCACTGTCGTGGAGTCGACTAAAGCTACATCATGCCCAGTCATCGGCAGTGGCAACAACAGCAGGAACAACGCAACCAGGAGAACGACAGGAAGAAGACTACCCTGAACATTGCAGACAGCATCAAGAAACAATTTGAAAATTCACATGTCAAACATGACACATGAAGCGGAGGTCACTAAGAGTCAGTTGCTTTGCCAGCGTTGAGGCTCAGCTTAAGATCATGTGACATGAGGCAACACAGCAGTTGAAAACGTGGCCGGTTGCCATCTTCCACGCTGGTTACAAAGATGCAGTACTGGAGAAGCTTTCTTCATTATAGAAACTAAATACTATACATGACACTGTCATGGAAAAGCCCGCAGCCGGCAGACATGTCATTGAATGGTAGCCACTTCTGAAGGCAGTCAAGTCTTCAGTCTGGTTTTTGGGTAATGCATTCTGTTTGTAGTCTGTCTGAGCTCAGTGATTAATCCTAGCTTTCCTATTGGAATTGCATGGAATTGCCATTTCAATACACGAGACGCCCCACTTTCAGACAACTCCACATCAACCCACAAAAGAAGGTGAAAACCACACAAAGAGAGACACAATCTTGGCCACAAGGGCAGTTCAAGAGATTCAAGTCAGCTGATCTACACACACACACACTCACAGACAGACACCAATCAGATTGATCGACTTGTCTTTGCAACAAGAGTGTTGCCGCCATGCGTGCCTGCCATGGCTTTTGTGCGCAGCCTAGGGGACGGTTTCATGCAGATTGTTTGCTGCAGCTATGCCTTAAAGTTGACCAAGTGTAGGCGCTTCTCTGCAATTCCAGCATGTTCAATGTCTCTTCTCAAAGCTGGTCAAGCATAGTGTGGAGCCTGTGAGAGGAGATCATTAGATCCTGTGCATTCCTAGGGCCCTTTGGCATCTCAGGTGTGTTAGCAGCGCTTCTGGCGGTTGATTTGGGTTTTGTTGCCCGGAGCCCTGGTGGCGCTGCAGTGACAAGAATGGTGTTTGTGAGAAGGGAGGAGTGCGAGGAAGACGATGATGATAGACAAAGAAGAGCAAGGAGAAGACGAAGATGAACTGATGATGATGACGACGACGATGATGGTGCCGATGATGATGGTGATGACTATGATGGTAATGATTTTGGTGGTGATGATGATGATGGTGATGATGGTGGTGATGGTGGTGATGATGGTGATGGTGATGGTGATGGTGATGGTGATGGTGATGATGATGATGATGATGATGATGATGATGCTTTTGCTGCTTTTGCTGATGATGATGTTTTTGAGAATAAACATGCGCTGAAATGTCCCCAAATAATACCAATTATAACCCAGAGCGGCACGTGCCACTCTGGCGGGGCTGCGCCCAGGAATGGCAGGTGAAAACGCAGATTGTGCGGCAGAGGTGGAGGTGTTGAGTGTTGTTGAACTATGTATTGTATGGACGACGCAGGGGTCGCATGGGTTTTGAATCTTTGACATTATGGCCCGTGGTTTTTTGCAGGTTTCTAGGAGCATGAAGCACCACGCACGAACGAAGAGGAATCCGAGTATCACTTCGATATACGTGGGTGACTTTTACCAATTCGTTGTTTTTTTGTGACCATGGCGCTCATGGCGGTGAGAGCTGTGCCGAGCTTTTCATGGATTGCCACGACATGCGACGCAGGCCCCGACATCGCCGTGGTGTGCTGCGAAAAGCGGCGCAGGTGCGCGCGCTGAGAGAAACTGCGTGGTTGTGGTATGTGGTTGTTTGTTTATTTTGTTTCATGCGTGTTCAATGATTTGAATGTCTTCAATGTATTTTCATCATTTTTCATCATTTTTCATCCAGATGTCACCAACATGGCCCAGGGCAACGAGCCCTTCCCGGTGGACTTCCTGGACGAGCTCGAGATCGACGCCGAGGACGAAGGCGTCGGCGCCATCGAGGTGGGCCGGCTGGAGCAATGGCGTTCTGAGGTCGGGGAGCCAGTCACCATAGGTTACCATAGGTTACCCTCTGGTTATGTCAAAATAGCTATTGAAAATGGCCATTTATAGTTGATTTTCCCATAAAAAATGGTGATTTTCCATAGTTATGTTAGTTTACCATAGGTTACCCTCTGGTAAACTAAGACTAACTAAGAGTTTGCAGAACTGGAAAATCACCATTTTAATACGGGTAATTCACTTATACATGGGCAATTTTCAATAACTAATTACGTTAAAGTACTGGAGAGTATACATGGGTTAGATATGGTTGGATAAAGTCATGGTCATCCATGACAACTGGATGATTTGAGGGTACCCCCATGACTTAGGAAACTTCCATCTGGGTAAATGATATTTTTAGTAAATGATCCTATTTGATATGAATTCAACAATGATCGTATTCATTCATCAGTGAATTATTGGTTAATTTACCCAGATGCATTATTAATGGTAAACCATTAAAGCAAATCATAAAGGAATTGTTAGCACTTGGGTTTACCACATTGTGCCAATTATATTTCCAAGTATATCCAATTATCCGCTACTTATCCATTAATCATCGGTTATTGTTAGTTATAACCCCGATGATTAATCATGATAAATTGTCATTCTCTGTAATCAAACATGGTTTGATCGAAATCAAACCAGTTGGTTAAGTTAGTTCCGTTATTTTCCGCTGAAAGAGGGTACCTCTAAATAATATGGGGGGATTCAACCATCAACAATGGTGGTTTAATGGGAGGTCTATGATGGTTTATGGAAGCATTTGGGGATAGTTGGGGGGATGGACATGCATTTCTATACCATTTTTTTTGATGTGAAAACCAAGGGTACAGGGTTTTGACCCATCCCACATGGAACCTCGTTGAAAACTAAACATGATCTAACATGATCTACAGTTAATGTACACTTTTCCAACTATCTCAGGAGGAAATCTAGTGAAAAGTCTGCCACAATTATCCTTCCATACTTTCGCGGGGAGGGTAACGGTTGTGGCAACGTGTGTACTGCCGCTTTCGCCCGGTGATCCTGGTGAGAATTTCCACTTTTCTTTCTAGGATGACCTTGGATCCACTGCGAAAAATCATCAGTTTCTACCATCAACATCTATGGGGGGTGTACTCAATTTTCAGCCATTATTAGAATTATCTATAATTATATATATGTATATCACAATTCTTATTCACTAACCCCCGATTGAATCTTCATTAATTAACCAATTATAATTTAATTCCTATGGCACATTGAGTTTTATTGATTTAATATTTGAGTGACGATCAAAACCCCCGCAGAAGAGTTTTATACAAACGTATGATTGGAGTATGTTGTTGTAAATTTGTAGCGCGTTTTGCCTGGGAGGCGCAAGAAAGCGCAATGGCGGGCGCAAGATATATTAACATCGTTGTTCTTTTCTGTATCAGTGAACATCTGCTGCTGTAGCGGCTCAGAGCTGGTAGGCAGGACAGACGGAACCATACCTACCAAAACGGAGTCAAATAAAAAAAGGTATTGTAGAAGCAGAGTGTATATATACACAATTATACACTGCCTCCATATAAAAATTGATTCCCAAAACGGCCCTTTCGAGCCGAAAAGCAGCTTTACGGGAATCAAGCTTCAAGAGGTATGGTAGAAGGAGAGTGTATACACATAGGAAATTTGATTCCCAAAACGGTATTTCCAAGCCAGAAAGCGGCTTTACGGGAATCAAATTTCAAGAGGTATGGTAGAAGGAGAGTGTATACACAGAGAAAGTTTGATTCCCAAAACGGTCCTTTTGAGCCAGAAAGAAGCTGTACGGGAATCAAATTTCAAGAGGTATGGTTGAAGGATAGTGTATACACATAGAAATGTTGATTCCCAAAACGGCCCTTTTGAGCCAGAAAGAAGCTTTACGGGAATCAAATTTCAAGAGGTATGGTAGAAGGAGAATGTATACACATAGAAGGTTTGGTTGGATTTAGTGAAGTTTTTTTGCCTTTGCAATGCCTGTTTTGAACCCAAGTCTGGCGCAAGGTAAGTGCAAGTTTCTCCTTAGGTTGTTTTGCCAAGTTGGACAGGCATTGCTACAAGGCTCCGGAAAAAACATTTTAACAGCTCCGTAGCTTTTGGTATCTTTTTGAAATTTGATTCCAGTAAAGCTTCTTTCTGGCTCAAAAGGGTCGTTTTGGGAATCAAACTTTCTCTGTGTATACACTCTCCTTCTACCATACCTCTTGAAATTTGATTCCCGTAAAGCTGCTTTCTGGATCGAAATGGCCGTTTTGGGAATCAAATTTCCTATGTGTACACATTCTCCTTCTACCATACCTCTTGAAATTTGATTCCCGTAAAGCTGCTTTTCGGCTCGAAAGGGCCATTTTGGGAATCAAAATTTCTTTGTGTATACATTATCCTTCAGCCATACCTCTTGAAATTTGATTCCCGTAAAGCTGCTTTCTGGCTCAAAAGGGCCGTTTTGGGAATCAAATTTCCTATGTGTATACATTTCTGCTTCTACAATACCTCTTGAAATTTGATTCCCGTAAAGCTGCTTTCTGGCTCGAAAGGGCCGTTTTGGGAATCAAATTTCCTATGTGTATATATTTGCCTTCTACAATACCTCTTGAAATTTGATTCCCGTAAAGCTTCTTTCTGGCTCGAAAGGGCCGTTTTGGGAATCAAATTTTATAAGTGTATAATTGTGTATACATTTCTGCTTCTACCATACCTCTTGAAATTTGATTCCCGTAAAGCTGCTTTTCGGCTCCAAAGGGCCGTTTTGGGAATCACAATTTCTATGTGTACATATTTGCCTTCTACCATACCTCTTGAGATTTGATTCCCGTAAAGCTGCTTTCTGGCTCGAAAGGGCCCTTTTGGGAATCAAATTTCCTATGTGTATACATTCTCCTTCTACATACCTCTTGAAATTTGATCCCCGTAAAGCTTCTTTCTGGCTCAAAAGGGCCGTTTTGGGAATCAAATTTCCTCCGTAGGTAGAGCTCCTCAGTCAACTTCTGAGAATTCGAGCTTCGAATCATCAGATTTTGCTTCCGGAGGCTAAAAAAGTCTGTGTTGCACAGTTGCACAGCGTACTGGATCAGTGAACACCCCCTTGAATTGAGCAACTTTTTGCGGCAATCAATTCTTAAATACATATTTTAATCTATGTAATGGAACACAATAAAAACCCTGAAGAGCGCAAGGAAGCGCAAGGGCGGGCGCAAGGTCATTTCTAACAACACACCGGCAACTATGTTTTGATCAACCCCCATTTATATAACTACCCTTAAATTTCCATAATATAATCCCATGCCAATAATTCCCATATACTGTAGTTATATGTAGTTATATTCCTAGTTATATATCACACACACAGGCACACACGTGTGTGTGTGTACACTGCTAATAACATGCAGTCTAAATATTGATTTGGCAGGGGAGTGCGGCATGATTGTGGGACCGCACTCAACGAAGCTACCACAATCATGGGATACTGGGTCTGATCAACCCAGCGTACCTGCATCAGAGGATAGCAACCGGCTAAGCTGAGAACCGGAAACTAAGTAACTTTGATATAGCATCCGGCTAAGCTGAGAACCGGAATTCATTTTTCATATTTCATAATTCATGACTCATGTCCCAGGATCCGTTTCAGGCCCTCTATTCAGGAATTGGTGGTGCTCTTTTACTTCACCTCACTACGATCGAATCTATATATCCCACAGTGTGTTTTGGGTACTTTACCTCACTTGGTAGTACCGTCTGTCCGTTTCGACGGATATGAAAGTTATGACCGGGCATTTTCCCGGCTGCAGAGTGGGATGTCGCCAACATCCTGAAGTCCCCTTTGCATATTACATGCAAAAGAAGTAGACAATGTCAAGGTGGACATTGAAGTTCGTTCAACACATATTGACAGCCATAAGGCGAAGTTTAGCCCAATTGGCGAAGTACCCACAAGGGAGAAGTTGTCACATGACGAAGTACTCTGAATGCGCACTTCTACCAGTACATGCGGTCGGAGTCTCAGTAGCATTTTCACCTCACTCGTCATCGTCATCAGGTTCTTTTTAGGCCATGTATTCATTCTATTAGGCAGGCTCCTTAGGTTTGTTTTTCCTGGTATAGAACATATTTAACGTTTTGTTTCTCACATCACTCGTCATCAGGTTCTTTTGATGCCATGTATTCATTCTCTTAGGCAGGCTCCTTAGGTCAGATTTACTAGGTATAGAACATGGTTCAACGTTTTAATTCTCACATCACTCATCATCGTCATCAGGTTCTGTTGAGGCTATGTATTCACTCTCTTAGGCAGGCTCCTTAGGTTTCTGGAAACCATGGAGATGTGGTTTGATTTGACAGATCAAATGACAGTCATGGGTGTCACTTGAACCAAAGAAAACCACACGTTAAGTTCATTCCCCAGTGAGCAGACCCGAATATCTTCCCTGGAGAGGCATTTGAGGAAACTGGCCGATTCAGTTGGAAAATTCTGTTGTTGCAACCCTGCCCTTGTTGCGTTGAAAGTAATTTTTGCTTTTCACATCACTCGTCATCGTCATCAGGTTCTTTTAGGCCAGGTATTCATTCTCTTAGGCAGGCTCTTTAGGTCAGTTTTCTTACGTAAAAACTATAGGCAGTTTGCGGTTTTGCCCCATTTACTGATCTGCCTCTCATATTGAGAGGCCATGTGTGTGTGTACACTGCTAATAACATGCAGTCTAAATATTGATTTGGCAGGGGAGTGCGGCATGATTGTGGGACCGCACTCAACGAAGCTACCACAATCATGGGATACTGGGTCTGATCAACCCAGCGTACCTGCATCAGAGGATAGCAACCGGCTAAGCTGAGAACCGGAAACTAAGTAACTTTGATATAGCATCCGGCTAAGCTGAGAACCGGAATTCATTTTTCATATTTCATAATTCATGACTCATGTCCCAGGATCCGTTTCAGGCCCTCTGTTCAGGAATTGGTGGTGCTCTTTTACTTCACCTCACTACGATCGAATCTATATATCCCACAGTGTGTTTTGGGTACTTTACCTCACTTGGTAGCCGTCTGTCCGTTTCGACGGATATGAAAGTTATGACCGGGCATTTTCCCGGCTGCAGAGTGGGATGTCGCCAACATCCTGAAGTCCCCTTTGCATATTACACGCAAAAGAAGTAGACAATGTCAAGGTGGACATTGAAGTTCGTTCAACACATATTGACAGCCATAAGGCGAAGTTTAGCCCAATTGGCGAAGTACCCACAAGGGAGAAGTTGTCACATGACGAAGTACTCTGAATGCGCACTTCTACCAGTACATGCGGTCGGAGTCTCAGTAGCATTTTCACCTCACTCGTCATCGTCATCAGGTTCTTTTTAGGCCATGTATTCATTCTATTAGGCAGGCTCCTTAGGTTTGTTTTTCCAGGTATAGAACATATTTAACGTTTTGTTTCTCACATCACTCGTCATCGTCATCAGGTTCTTTTGATGCCATGTATTCATTCTCTTAGGCAGGCTCCTTAGGTCAGATTTACTAGGTATAGAACATGGTTCAACGTTTCTAATTCTCACATCACTCATCATCGTCATCAGGTTCTGTTGAGGCTATGTATTCACTCTCTTAGGCAGGCTCCTTAGGTTTCTGGAAACCATGGAGATGTGGTTTGATTTGACAGATCAAATGACAGTCATGGGTGTCACTTGAACCAAAGAAAACCACACGTTAAGTTCATTCCCCAGTGAGCAGACCCGAATATCTTCCCTGGAGAGGCATTTGAGGAAACTGGCTGATTCAGTTGGAAAATTCTGTTGTTGCACCCCTCCCCTTGTTGCGTTGAAAGTAACTTTTTGCTTTTCACATCACTCGTCATCGTCATCAGGTTCTTTTAGGCCAGGTATTCATTCTCTTAGGCAGGCTCTTTAGGTCAGTTTTCTTAGGTAAAAACTATAGGCAGTTTGCGGTTTTGCCCCATTTACTGATCTGCCTCTCATATTGAGAGGCCATGTGTGTGTGTACACTGCTAATAACATGCAGTCTAAATATTGATTTGGCAGGGGAGTGCGGCATGATTGTGGGACCGCACTCAACGAAGCTACCACAATCATGGGATACTGGGTCTGATCAACCCAGCGTACCTGCATCAGAGGATAGCAACCGGCTAAGCTGAGAACCGGGAACTAAGTAACTTTGATATAGCATCCGGCTAAGCTGAGAACCGGAATTCATTTTTCATATTTCATAATTCATGACTCATGTCCCAGGATCCGTTTCAGGCCCTCTATTCAGGAATTGGTGGTGCTCTTTTACTTCACCTCACTACGATCGAATCTATATATCCCACAGTGTGTGTGTACATATATATATATATATGTCGTTATAATATCCCTATAAAATTGTTGATTGCCTGTTAAACTCACCTTAAATGAAGCCAAATCTCCACAGTTTGGTTGCCCAGGGCGATGACCCCTTCCCCACGGACTTCCTTGATGATTTGGGGCCGGAGGAGGTGGCCGAAAGCTCTTCAGAGGTGGGCCAGGGTCCAGAATGGTCCAGAGCTGGGGTTGAGATTTAAGATCAGGGGAAAAAACTGATTTTGGATGATTTTGTACGATTTGTTTGGATTCACACTAAAATTTGGATATTGTTTGATGATTCTTGGTCCTTTTCTGGGGGGATTTACATGGATTAACATGGGATGACCATCCATTTTTGGGTGTCCCCAATTGAAATTGATACCTATATGTGAGCTTTCGAAGTGGAGATGAGCAGGAGGAAAGAAAGAAACTTCATAGTCTTTTAAGCAGCATGTTCGTAGGCTGAACTATACATAATATATATATATGGTATATATATATATATGGTGTATATATATAAAATAAAATAAAATAATATAATATAATATAATATGATATAATGTAATATAATATATAATATAACATAATATAATATAATTTAATATAATACATGTTAAATATTTAACATTGTATTTAATAAAATATAATATAACATAATATCATATAATATAATATTAGAAAACATATAATATAATATAATATAATATAATATAATATGATATAATGTAATAAAATATATAATATAACATAATATAATAAAACATATAATATAATATAATATAAAATAATATAATAAAACATATAATATAAAATAATATAATAAAACATATAATATAAAACAATATAATATAATATAGTATATATATATACATGATGATCAGATTCTGGTGAATGAAGGTTTTCGATGGTGGCTCGGTAATAGTTGCCAACTTCTCGGCTCTGGCACAGCTTCCCTTTGATTTGAAGGTAGCTCAAGAATTCCCATAAATTCCAACTTGGGTTGTTTTTTTCTTCATTCAGGGGGTGCCGCACAAAGTTCTTAAAACTATAAAGTACCTAATTAGTTTATATAATGGACAATATGCAGGTATAGATGGACACATCACACGCTAATTAGAGGAATCTATACATCTTGCCCAAGACCGGAACTCTTCAGTGTGTAGAAAGAGTAGAAAGACGTAGAAAGTATCGAGGTTGAGATATTGCATTGACTTCTGACATCTGGCCTTTCTTGGTTTCCAACCTGGGGCTCACCTGGTTCACCTTCCCGGCATTTCCCGCCTGTACCAGGATGCTTTGTTCCCTCAGAGCCTCTTGGAGCTGCCCCCGCAACCTTTGAGCTCCTTCCAAGTGGGTCCGGCCGCCGGTACCAGTACAGCCTTGGACACCGCGGGTCGCTGCGGGCCCCGAGGTCAAATCGTGCACGGGCGCGTGCTGGGGCCTGAGTGATGCTTCGAGCTAGACGGCATGAAGATCCAGCGAGATACTGATTTGTGCATAGCTGTTCTTCACAATTGTACTCAGGTTGACAGATTGTTGACATGCAAGGTGGAGACATATACTATCGATTGTAAAAGATAATTCGAACATATTCGAACAGTATCAGCTGTGAATTGTTCATTTTCATCACCCTCACCATCACCATCACCATCACCATCATCATCATCACCACCACTCAACGTTCCATCTATGCTGTCAGCAATGCCAGTAGCTACTGACCTTTGCATCCTTTGACAGGAAAAGGATGATAGTAGGTGCTGCTTCCTTGGCCTACGTGGACATCGGCGCGGCAAAGGATGCGGTTTCTAGGCTGCAGACGGGTCGTGGAAGGGGGTGGATGGGGTTGGGGTGTGCTGTGTAAATGTTTAGGACTCGTTGAAAAGGCCAGTTCTGTGGCTCCGAAAATTGGAAAACATGAAAACATGCAGCTGCGGTGGTTCCTCAACTTTTAAGCAAAGAACATCAAAGAACCATCACATTTTTTTTTCCAATTGACACTTGGAACAAAGCCTTTCAGTGCATGCCGTTTGAGCAGTTTTGGTGCCCAGGTTTTGGAGTTTGGTGAAATGACGGTCGCTGGCCTGAGAATTCCCCTCCAAAAGCTGTAGATCGCCATCTTAGATTTACTCCAAATGAGGAGAATTTCCAAGGGATGGTACCACAAAATGAGGATTTGTTATGATTTGTTGAAAAATCACGGGGATAGTTTCAAGAATGAGCATTTTACTTGGGGACAGAATCTCCTTGGAGTGGGCCCAGTTGCACCCGCCCCAGGATGGATTCCCCAGAAAGGTGCCAGTGCATACGGGCAAGAAGGCTTGGATGGGGGACCGCTGGTTGGTGACGACGGGTGGCTTCAACATGTTTCCAGCAGAATTCACTTGAATTCACTTGAAACTCATGCTGAATTTCTGTTCATTGATTCCAGGCTTGGCATGAACATCCCGATTTAGCATTATTGGGCATGGGAAGAATCACTAGAAATATCATGAAATAACTGCAAAATGAGTCCCTTTCAAAATTAGTTCCTTTCAACATCAGGCTCATTTTCATGCGGCTGATGCACCTTCACAGGTAGAAGCCCGAGTTCTGGAGTATAGCGCGGAGATCGATAGGCTCTACTTGACCAGGAGGCCTGCGGTTACTTTTTGGCTATGGTGGTGATGATTTTAGTAGTATTTTGACTTTAAAAGAGTAGGGTTTTGATGTCAAAAAACATGGTCTTGATGGCCACCCAGGTACTGGTAGGCTTTTGATGGTGAAAACCCATGGTTTTCCGGTTGAACTTTTCCAACAAAACCCCCAGGACTGGCGACTTGAAGCGTCCTCCACGGATCTGGAAGGTGCAGTGAGACAGGTAGATCCATTGGGTCCCCCCAATGGCCCAAAAAAACAGACAATTTCTTGACATGACAAAAAAGGTCAACATTCTAAAATTATTATTGGAATTCACTATACTATATATATAGATATAAATGTTGACATACTGGACGATGTTCATCTATTTGAAATTATTTGAACATCCATATTCATGATTGTCGGCTGATTTCGCTCGGGATTAACTAGACACCTATATTTTGTTTGATGTCTTTTAGCACATTTGTCACATTTTTAGGTCCCAACAAAGGTGTTTTTTAGCACCAGCAGTTTTGGACGACAGGAAGACCAAAGCCGCAATCCTGAGCCACTGCGAAGGGTACGAGCCCTCAGAGATGCCCTGAATCCTCTTCGGTCCAAGATGACCCAAGGATATGATCATAATCGATGATACACACATACATGCACACACACACATATAATATAATATATATACACAATGTGTATACGCATATTATGATATATTATGCTCTAAATGCATCCTAGTTGCAAAATATTGCAAAATACATCAAAATACCATGTGACATGAACAGTTCGAATACCAACATGTTGCAAATACCATGGAAAATGAGAGGCTCGAACTCCAAAATGTTGCAAAATACCGTTGAAATGGCAGCTCCCAGCTCCAAAATGCTGCAAACAGCAAGGGAAACGGACAGGACAGGAGATCAAGAAAAAACATCCAAAGCGGAACACACATAATTCCCAAAACAATTTCAATTCCAGACCCATTTATAAATATATAGATCAATTCAATACATTGTTCATTTAATGCGACATCAGATGACTATCTAGTAACCCTATGTAACCCTCAAAACGATAGAAACACAATGTTACCACTCTTTTTCCACATGTGTACCGCATTTTTATGTCTTCTTCGGAGTTGCTATACGCAGAACCCAATGGGTTCAGCCCCCCAGGTGGCCCAGCAAGAATTCCTAGATGCCGAGGTGCGGCCTGAGGTTGGTCGCCATGAAACCACCTATATATATTTTGATTGATCTGGGTAAATTACAACGACCTCACTGCGACCTCACTGGGAATGATGGTTAGTGAGGGAAATCATCCCAATATGGCCTTAATTCAGGTGAGTGAAATATTATAATTTACCCAGATTATTGGTTGGTTTATACCACCGATAAAAAGGATTAAACATGGTGAATTTAAGGGGATAATGTATTATTGCCCCATTAACATTAATGGTGATCACCGAGGCCATTCCCAACGTTCGGACACCCATGTGGTCAACCAATGATCATGGTTTACAAGACACCCCATGTTTCGCGTTTCGAGGGTGAACATGAAACCCTGATTTCCATTGATTTCCTGTTTTTCCTTCAAGCACATCCAATGAAACGATGAATTCCCCAACTTTGTCAGAGAAAAAAATCAAACACTTTAATGAATCACTCTCTACGGGGCTCCTGCGAGACAAGTGACAAGCCCCAAGACGGGATCTTCCTGTGACTGTTTGTCTGACTTTGTTTTGGCTGTTCCAAGCTGCCGAACAGATTCTTCTCCACTGAGTTCCAAATGAACATATGTTTTTCAATGTTTTTCCTCGTTTTCTTCCATCGCCTGGGGCTTCGAACCACAGGAAACCCGGCTTCTCTTTTGTATGGGAGCTTTCAACTTGGGTAGTGGGCTTCATGGAAATTCTTGGCCCTCGGGTCTTAGCGGAGACAGAGCTCCCGACTTCCACCCAAAATGACATAGAACGACAATGGCCTTGTCAGAAGGGGTTAAACAAAATAAACCAACCACCATCAGCCCCTGGTTATTTTCAAATCAAACGGGGATGGATGAAAAACTATCAAAACGTTAAAAAGACAGTAAAGCACCATCAACCACCATCAAACACCAATAAACATCAATAAACACCAATAAGATACATTAAACCACCCCATATGTATCAGCAATTTTTGGCTCATCGAACCATCCCCCAAAAAAATCGCAGGTGATCAACCTTATCACCTTCGGAGCCTTCGTCAACGTCTATCCCTCCTGGGGTGGGAGCCGCAGCTTGGGTAATTTTTTTTTTGGTTGGATCCCTGGATCATGCTGGATCCAATTTTTGTGCATCGACGACAGAAATATGGAACAAAACAATGGAACATAGAATTGAACAAAATCCATGAAGTGGGGATGTAAACAGGTTCGATGGACGGCATGTGAAGTGCATTCAACAAGCAATCTGAGTGGATTCGCAACAGTAACAACGATTGGATTCCATTGAAAGCAGAAGTGCATGTCCTTTCCACTTCTTGATTCAATCTCCTGAAACGAATGGAGAAGTACTATGGAAGGTGCTTCGCAACACCAGGTCACAATTCACCTGCGCAATTTGATTATTTGGTCAAACCACCTGCTGAATCATAAGAGTCAAAGTGAAATTTCCCATGATTTCCCATTCTTTCAAGGACCTGGAGTTGCAAGTAAAGGACTGAAGGTCACCATTTGGATGTCAGTGTGACAGGGACAGGTTTTATTGAACTGAGAGTCGCTTTCCTTGGCGAATCATGAGGTGATATTGGACTATATTAAAACGATGCATATTGCCCATTAAAAACATACATTCTGCCTCTCCCCTCAACATTTCAATACACTTGAGACCCACCAACCCAACTCTGATCTGGGTGAAGACCCACCATGGCCCAACTCTGACATCATGAGGCGACAAGACGCCTGTCTTTGCCTTGAACCTTGGCATTTTTTCAGGTCGCCCGTCCAGGGTGGCATAGCCCTTGAATGTTTCGGAGCCTACCATAGCCTACCTACCTCTTAAAGTGATGTTTTTCCATAGCTATGTTAAATTACCAAAGGGAAGCTTGAAAGAAATTGAAATGGTCTGTGATTCTGTGTCGGATTTATATATATATATATATTTGGAACGAGTTTGAAGATGATTGAAGCCTCATGAGTCCTGTGGTCATCGATTTTGCAGCTGTGATTTTGGCCCTGAGAAATGCCACCCGAGGCTTCACAAGACGCAGTTTGCCCCTGGCTTTGCGGAGAACCCGGAGCAGGCCGTGAAATATACACTTTGCGGATTCCATCGGATTCCCACTGGATGACCATACCCTCCATTAATCAGCAAGTTGGCCAGTGCCCATTAAGTTCGATGATTTACTGTAGCTCTGGAAAAGATGGTGATTTTGCACACTGTCAAATTATCAGAGCCTATTCACCTCTAAGCACGTCTGAAAAATCCCTTTTGCAGTGTTTTGAACAATTTGCACTATATATCATAGTATATCAGTATGTTTGTTGGCTAAATTCACCACGATTTTTTATTAGTTACATAAATGATCACAAGGGAAGAATATGAATCTGCAACGCAAAAAAGCCTGGCAGGCCATCCGTGGTGGCCGCATCAAGGTGAGAAAGCTGGCGTTGGGAAGCCCATGGAAACCCTCCGTAATTCATGGGAAAAAACCAAGGGTTTCCGGGTTTCCTGTACTTTTTCTCTTAAATCATCTTAAATCATCTTAAGCCAACCCATTGATGTAGGGGTTGCCCAAGGTGATCCAATGTCAAGAAACACCAATCAGCCTGACCCTATCAGGGTAGACATGACACTTGCCATCCGCAGATCGCTGCCAAGATTGCCAAGGATCAACGCCAATGGAGAGCGGGGGACTTATCTTTCACCATAAAAAGTATCCTTCGATCCTGGTGAAGTATGTCTTGGATCAATTATTGGGTCTATTGAATGATTTGGGTATAATAGTGGGTGTATTGGATTATAATATATTATAACATTGATCAATTATTTAAATATTGAATTGATCTATTCAAATTGGGTCTATTTACTGGACTATCAATTGTTTTGGGGGTCCCAATATTTTTTTTTGGGATTTTCATCCTGGCAAATGGGAGTACTGTTGCCACATTGGCAGTTGATTCTCGGTCTTCTTCAAGACGATCCCAGCTCTAGAATTTCCCCAAGGGAAAATTGGCGGCTCCACCAAGGTTGCAGGTCACTATGAAGCAATGACCTTGTGGAAAAAACTGCTCAGTGATCCATTAGGGGCCTAATTAGGGGCCTCAATCTTTGGATCGGGTCGCCGGGTAGCCATGGCCCTGAATCCACTGGTTTTCACTTCGCTGAAGACTGGTTATAACGGTTATGGCCTTTGTGACAACCTTACAATGTGATACTCCAATAACTATGGCATCTATTATTTATGGGGAATAATACATATATATATATATTATACTATATAACTATAGTTTATATTCAGAAAAACCATGGTTGCTGGGGAATATAACTATAAAAGTTCACGTTGGTTCATGGGGTTTATAAGCCAACAGACATCACTGGAGACTCTCCACGTCGATGGAAATTGGGTGGCCAACTTTAGACGCAGCTTGGACCGAGTGTAGCTCGGTGCGGGGTGGGCCTTTCCAAGCTGTGACCCCAGCCACGGAGGCCCACTCGGCATGGCACGGCTTGGTGTGCTACAAATCTTTGGCAGGATGATATGATGTTTTTTGAATGTTCCTAGTTTGTCTATCTGTATATACACTCTGCAGACACTCCGCATTCCATAATAAGACAACAAGTCATTTGGGAATCACAGTTCCCTTTTTTGAGCTCAGAGGTAAATCGCCTACCAATTTTGGAATATCATGATGGAAAAATGATAGCAGCTAGGGGCTGATGGAACAAGCTCTGAAAATTGCAAATTTCTTGGGCATTCCCCATTGCCTCATGGGGATATAAACGCGCTCTTGATTTAATGCATGATAATTTCATATAATTTCCACAATCACACATTATGACATGTAATCACATCATTAATATGTATCCTTACCCATGGGATTTTATGTGATTTTATACCATATTGTTTCATGGGCTTTTTATACGCACCGAGCAGCCCACCGAACTTGGTTTGAGGTCCCGCTTCGTTTCTGCCCGTCGTAGGTAAACGATGGCAAATGGTACTAGCGCTGGTGCTTGTATACGCCAAACTGACCCTCTACTTACACGCAAATTTCCTGGGAGGACATCGTAAAATCCCCGAATGCGGATGGAGAGGAAGAAACAATACCTATATTGTCTATTATTTATGTGTAATTTTCCCAAAACACACACACACATATATATATGTATAATGTTCAACGGTCAAAACCCATGCTTCCAGCCAGGCCCCACAAAAAGACGCGCAATGCGGCCAGAGGGCGTCCCGGAAGCCCTTCCGGCAGGCGACACGCCAGCCTGTCATGGGGGTATGATATCATCAATGTATGTCAAACAACTTTTTTTTTGATGGATTTTGATTGATTTGACAATTATATAGGTATGGGTGACTTAAAAGGATTTTGATGGGTGTTGAAGCTAGATTATGATAACGTGTCAAAAGCCCAATCAACCAAAAACTTCCGAAAGTTATTTTATGAATGGCAGTGCCATCATTTTTTAGTTGGATGTGTGGTTCATTTATTTCATATGGCCAGGTGCAGAAATGAAGAGGCGACGGCCCAAAGCCGGGAGCCACAGATGTGCATAGAGCAGGGGGCAGCTTTCGAGAACAAGGGCTTGATACTTGGGGGATATTATCACCAGAGCTACCTGAAAATTATCCTCTGGTAATTCAACAGAACCATACAAAATCATCAAAATCACCATTGTTTACAGGAAAATTGCCTGTATATAAATGATGAATTTCCATAGCAATGTTAAATTACCAGAGGATAGTCAGGATGATTTTTGAGTTGCATTTGGATTGGTCTCAAAATTCGGTAATTACCATCCGAAACCGAAACCCATCCAAATTGCAGTCATGGGGCACGCGCTGCTCTTGACAAACATTGACAAACCAACCTCGGAACCAAATCATGCTGAAGCATGGTGAAACATAGTGAAACAATTTGGAGGGTTCAGGTGGGTACAAGCCAAGAATCAGGGCCGTGCTATCTGATTATCTTTCATACCCTGAGCGACTTGGTGGGGCCAGCCCTCCAAGGGGCGTTATGGAATTGGGTTTCAGAGTTTTTGGTAGCCGGGAAGATTTGCTTGAGGTCTTTATTGTTCTCGGTGTTTTGCAAGATTTCTGCTATATTTGATTGTACACCATATCTATACAGTGTCTATACTAGTCTATACAGTACAAATTTCATCAAATTTCGAGATAATTTCTGCAGAATCATGCAGATATATTCACAGTACAAAGATTCTGTAGGTTGTGTTTGTACTGTGATGCTTGGCAGTGAGTTCATGTTTTCTTGACATCTTTGAGTCTGCTTCCAACACGACTGGCTGTGGGTGTGATGTATTCATCATTTCTATCCTTAAAAACACATACTCACAGTGGATGATAAGGACGTGACATGAAGTGATTATATTTATCAAACAGTATTTATATGGATCCTTCTATGTTAGTTTACAGAGGGTAGGTAAAATGTAACGAGCTCACTGTGACCTCATTGGAATGATGGTTGGTAGAAATCATCCCAAAAGGCCTTGATTTTGATGACTGAATTATAAAAAAAATACCCTCTGGTAAATTAACATAGACCCCGGAAATCACCAATTTTTAGTGGAAACTAATCTTCCAAGCCCAATGACTGCCAGAGTCTATGTTGATTTAGTGGAGGGTATTACGATTTATCCAGATCCTTGTATGAATGATGATTCCCGGCCACCCATGCGTTAACTTCCAGCATCGTCAAGGTGAAACCAGGCCCAAGATCCACGCCTGTGGTCGAGCTGGCGCCTTCATCATCTACCTAGTAAACTGACATGGAACATGGACCATTTCTAGATGATTTACCTGTTAAAAAACGGCGATTTTCCATAGCCTATATTAGTTTACTAGAGGGTAAAACATCTAATGCAGTCTGAATTCTCCACTTCGAGATTGAACTTAGGATTTTTTTCGGCCACCAGCCTGGATTCTCGGGATGTCATGTTCCTGCTCAGAAGTCATAGTGAATAGTGACCAGCTGATTTTGGCTCAGGGTTCATTTAGAAATGACTGCCTCGCTATAGCTGGTGGTTGTTGAGAACCATGGCTGCCCTGGACGTTGCTGGCAAGAACGTTGCTATGCTGCCACAAATATGGGTGGGCTTTTTTCTTAGACTCCGTGGTCCCCAAATATGGGGATATGTGCGGATCAAATGCGAATATTGATGGCTCAACCAGCAAGCCATTTATTTTAGAGTGTTATTCTACACCACATTGGGTTACCACATTGATATTTTCCAGGTGTTTCACTGCGCATCCCAAAAGGAGGTTCCACGGTTCATGTTGGAGCGGAACAATATCCAGGCACATGAGAAAGGAAATGATCCTAGCAGAAATTAGCACTTAAATTAGCACAGATTGATTGATCATTCCCCTTTTTTTAAACACTAAACGCCCCCATTTGATGGTCCCCTGAAGTGTAAATCCCCTACGTTTTTCTGGCGAGTGTTTCATATTAGAATGGGATGGAAACACTTAATCAAAATCGTTGAAACCCATGGTTTGATATTAGGGGAATGGATGGTTAGTTCATTAGTGTTCATTACTAAAACCATAAATCATTAATGGATATTCATGGATTAACCATATTTCAGTGATTTCAGTGTATTGATGTTAATAATTAATGGTTATTCATGGGTTAACCCCGAAAAACATTGCTTCTCAGATTCCAACCATATCTTTGATGGATAAAAAAGATCGCTGGTTATTTATCACTGTGGTCAGCACCATATATCATGAATTGATTAATTATTAATTGGTTAACGATATGCCATTATTAATTTAAATGGCTTAAGCCATATTATATTTCATTATTAATTTTGATCCATCAATAACTAACATTCATACCTGATGAATGAATATTCCATAATGGATTAACCCAGAGTCAGAGTTCAATTATGCTTATTAATTCACTGGACACCACTGGCAACGACTAACAGGTTGCTATTGCAAATGGCCCTAGAAATAGTTGATTCACCCATTCAACATGGTGATTTTCCCTGGTCATGTTAGGTTACCAGAGGGTACCCTCTGGTAAACTAACATAGCTATGGAAAATCACAATTTTTAATGGGAAAATCCACTAGAAATGGCCATTTTCAATAGCTACGTTAAATTACCAGAGGGTAATCACTGGTTGAAATCTGCGAAATACATCACCCCAGGGGCCCAGGTGCTGATCACCGGCGCCAGCGCGGGCATCGGCCGAGACCTGGCCTTGCTCCTGGCACGGCAGGGTGCCAATGTGGCGCTGCTGGCGCGGCGTGGCGCGGCGTTTGCCGGGGGGTGGTGGCCCAGGTCGATATATGGAGGTCTCCAGAAATTGGAGGAATCCCAATAGCTGAATGGTTTACCCTCTGGTAAACTAGCATAGCTATTGAAAATGGCTATTTATAGCGGATTTTCCCATTAAAAATGGTGATTTTCCATAGTTATGTTAGTTTACCGGAGGGTATAATGGAAAATCCTATGAAAATGGATGATTTAGGCGTAGCCCCATTTTAAGGAAACCTCCATATACAGTGTATATATATATATATATATCTAATCTTTACTTATTTATCAACTCGAATGTCAAGATGCAGAAAAGTCAAACCCCAATTCCAACAATAATTATATGACACCTCTTCCGTTTTGGGTGGTAATTGGAGGAGTTTTCCTCCAATTAGATAATGAGATGTTACCAAATCAAACTTTGCTAAAGTAGTGAAGACTCTAGCGGCAGCTGCATCCTGGTTTTTGTCCAAGCCCAGTTGTTGAAGAAAATGCCAGAATCTGGGGAAGATATTCTATATAGAGAAAAGTAAGAATTAGTAAGTCCGGGAACAATGATTTACAGTAAATGGGTCTTAACATTTTTTTTTGGAACCACATCAAAAGACCCAATGATTACAAATGATAGTACATTTGAACCCATTACACATCATAATTCTGTCTTAATGATTAGTAAGACCCAAAGGGAAATTTTTACACATCAAGTTCCTCCCTGTAGCATAAGGCCTTGAACTTCTGGAGGACCTGGCGGCTGAATGCAGCGCATTGCCACTGGCCTTCTATCAGGACCATTGGGGTCAGTTTAGGACAGTTGATGATCGTTTTTGGGGTGATTTTGGGGCCAGTTTTGGGAGGATTTCGGGACTGCGCTTCCCCGAGTTCATTGCTTCTTCCATCATGTACGTCAGAAGCAACGATGTCTCGTTCAAATTCATTGGTTGATGACAAAGAAATATGGTAAATATGATTTTATATTAAATGAATATAAATGATAGCAGGCAAATGCAAACCGTATACGAAACCGGTCCCGCTAATTGTTCTCAGAAGAACATTATTTTCATGAAGATAGGGTACCCCTAAATCCACTGGTTGATCGTATATACAGTGAGATCAGTGCAGCTATAACATTGCAATTTTAATGGTATACCACATTTTCAGATGTGCCCAAATCATAGTATCCATGATTATCCATGTTATAAGATTTTAATAGATTTTATATCCCTCTCAAATCCCATCTTCTTTAGGGTTTTATTCTTCGTTAAACCCCTATTAAATCACCATTAAGTCTCATTTACAGTATATATCATATAATTGGTTGAAGGAAAAATTAGGCAGACCTCAGAGGAAACCCCTGGATTTGAGAGTAAAAACCATGGTTTCCGGCAGATTTCCCCTTATAGCAACCTAAAAATATAGACACACACACACATATATATTATATATATATATTATAGAAAAGTTGAAATCGTTGAACTACCATCCGGGAAATACCTGTTTGGTTACAGTATTGGTTTCAAAGGTATTACTTCTTGTTTTTCAACCATGGGATGATTGGTTGAGATGCCAGCATATTTTTTCATATGTTGTGATGGGTTAAAACCACCAACCAGCTATCGTTTGGCAGGTTACTAATCCCTTCCCCCTAATATTTAACCTTCACTGAGGGAGGGGTTATCCCCACCATGATTTAGTAGTCAAATTTCACATATTTGAAATCATATTTGGAGCCATAGAAAATGGGGGTGTTTCATATGAATGTGATAACTATGGCTTTTGTTGGTGATATAGTGATGTATCTATAGTTAATGGGATTATAAACCAGAGTTATTATAAAGATATATCACCTATAAAGAACCACCCCGATAACTAGGTTATTATAACTATAGCTATTATAAAGATATATCACCTATAATAACCGGAGGTTGGTGATATATCTATAGTTAATGGGATGGAATCACACACCACTCCGAGCCGTTCTGAGGAACTCCAAGGTGGCCCTGGCCGTGCGCTGCGACGTGACGGAGCGACCCAGCTGCCAGGCGGCGGTCCAAAAGGTCGTGTCGTGGTGGCACTGGTGGCATTAAGGGCAAGGGCAAAGCACAGGTTTTTTGAGCATCAAAGATTCATAATATGTACATGTATTCTGATATTACATATTCATATATATGTATATGTATATATATATATATGTATGTATGTATATATATATATGTATATGTATATGTATATGATGTATATGGATAGGATATGATGATATTCACTAATGTGTTTTTTTAACATGAATATTGATGATATGCCATTTTGGCATGTGTAGAAAAAAACGTCTCAGATATCTCCTCCCGTCCAAGGGTCAGCCCATGCCATTTTCGCGGGGATTTCCTCTCATTTGGGCTGTTTTAGCCAAACACGTCAAATTACAACTCAAACATGAAGACTTGAGAGCTAAATTCTAGTAGAAGTAAATCGTTGACGGCAGTTCTTCAGAAGATTTAAGCCACCAACCAAAGATCAGGCTTGGGCTTAGGTGGTCACACTTGTATGATGGGACCTTGTTGGCACTTAGATGCATGGTTTCCCAGGCCAAATGAACCCCTCAGGTTGAAGAATTGAAGCAGATAGATATCATCGTGCTCAACGCGGGCATGAGTCCCTCGTCCTGGTTGCATTGGACCGTTGGACCGTTGGATAAGAATGCTGGGGATCACACAGATTCGCACAGATTCTGAACATAATTTGTTTCCAGATGTTGCGCACCCATTTTTGGAGATTTTTGGAGTAGGATTGATGCACTTTTTTTGTTGGGTGGCTATTTTGGAGGGCCAGTATTGTTCAGTTGGAACGTCCAAGCCTCCCATTTGTGCCAGGTATGGGCTGCTATTTTGAAGACATCAAGGACCTCTCGGACGGCGACAAGATGTTGTCCTTGAACGCTGCTCGATGGTAGAGGGGTGAGGTACTTTCTGAAGCTTTGTGGTTGGGGTCGAAAAAATCGCTTCTACTACTGTAGTTAGTAGTGAAAATGAATGAACATTGCTGTATTTTCCCAAGCCACTTTCTGGGTCTTCATGTTGGTTTCACCGGAGCATGGGGCCAATGGGGCCAAAAGATCTTGACTCGCACCAATCACGGATGCCATGTCATGTCCTCATAAAATCGCTGCAAATCTGTGTGTCGTTGTAGGGTGAAATTTGGGATTGAAACCCCACGGCAAGCAGAAAGAAACCAGACTGTGGCACCGTATTACCACATTCAATCATGACATGGACGTGTTTGAAAAGTATTGAAACGTGATACACTCAAAATGATCCACCAATTAAAATTTTGATGGACACATAACAATGATCAATCATTATTTGGTGGATCTAGGGGTGCCACTCTGTGGAGCGTACCCAGAAAACTTTCTTATGACAATTGATCAGGACGTTCGACAAGAATATCTATCTATATTATACATTCATACTATAATATTATCATATATGTCACAGAAAGTAAGCACAACTTACAGTATATATGATATATGATTATATAATTATATATATATATATTACATTCATTCAGGCATTATAGGACAAATGTATGCCACAAAATTGTGTAGTTGCCTTGACGCTGGCTATGGCGCTTCACGGGTCACGGGCCAGGTCATGGGCGTGGCCAACGTCTTGCACTATGCCTTTCCATTCATCCCCAAGGTGCGGTCGATCCAGGTCATTCCAGGTCGATGCGGCTGGATGTTGTGTGAATTCCTGGATGTTTGGCTTGAAAACTCGATACTTTATCGATACTGAAAAACACTATGCTGTCTATACTTTTGCGGGTTTCAGGCAGCCTTTTTTTTTGATTGCCACTATATAATTAATTGATGTGCAATTGATGAATTGAAGGTGATTTGGTCGTGTTATGAGCCTTGCCAATTCTTGGATTACCCGGGGTCCTGTGTCAAACATCAACAGACTTGGCTTACAGTGAAGGCTTGACCACCCAACAACGTTGGATACCTCCAGCAAAACTATCATTTCCAAGGGAAACCCAGAATCCCATAGAACTACAGCACGTTCGAACCCTACTAATTTAAACAAGCCTCCGGTAATTTGTGACATAGCTGTGGAAATTACCCATTTAGTTCAATGATTTTCCTATAAAAATCGTGATTGTCCACAGCAAACTGTCAGTCACTACCAGAGGCTTTTCCCGATTCAAACCGCCTTAATTCCTAATAAAACTCGGTGAAACATGTTTGTATCTTTTGTTGGTGATTCATGGTGATTCAACCTATCACCATGGACCATCACCATTGTATGGCTTAGATAACCATTTCAAAAACCCGTATATAAACCCCCGGTAATTTAACATAGCTATGGAAAATAACAATGTTTATCATTTTTATTTACCAAGTAAATCAGTAAATCATCTATAAACGGGCAATTTTCCAAAGCTTTGTAGGGGTTTCAGGAATGCTAAGCCCTTATCGATTTTCAACTACTGTTGATTTTGCGCGTTTGCCTCTTCCTCGTTTTTTTGGAGGAAAGCGCCTCACGCATCGTTGTGATTTCCTCCGTGGCGGGGGTGGTGGGGGTGCCGTTCCGGACGCTGCACCTTGGCGCAGGGGGTAGTACTAATACCACCTTAAACTATAACCCCCCTCGCCCTATCAGACAATTGTGAAATATATAATAGTGTGCATATATATATATACATTATATATATACACACATAATACACACACACATATATATATATATGTTTTTTCATAAGCCCCTAGGAATGTTCTTATGAAAATAGCTTGAAACACCTGGGAACATGTACCCTCCACGAATCAAACATGACTTGCTGAAAAATCCAGCATTTAGTGCAGCGATTTCCCAGCCACGTTTGATGACACCCGAGGGCCTTCCATGACTATTCCATTTTATTTTCCTGCGAGGAACCTACCGATTTTTTTAAAAATATGTTATGTGGTAGATCCAACAATCAACCATCCCATTAACCAACAGAATCACTGGGGGGTCATTTGCAATCATCCCATTTCTAGATATTTTTTCCAAGTTCATAAACCTCAAACTTGGGGATGGTTCATGGCGCCATGGGTGAATCCCACATTACCCATGACCTTCTGGTAATTCAACATAGCTATTGAACATCACCATGTTTAAAGTGGCTACGGTAAAGCATTGAACTAATGGGCCAGGGCTTCCATAGCTACTGGTACGTTAAATAACAAGAAAGTAATCCAAATAAATCCCACTATCAGCCACGAGGAATGGATATGATATCCGGACTATATCCCCTAGACATCAACATCCCCTAGACATTTCCCCCGTCGAGGATATTGGATTATATCCTGCATTATATCCCGAAATTATATCCATCCCTTGGATGATATCCCCCCATCTAGCTACCCCCATCCTAGAATTATCACCAGTTGGAGGACCAAGGTTACCTCAATAGACACACCCCCTTGGATGATATTCTATGCCAATCTATGTCCCATGATATCCTCAAATTAATAGATTGGGATGTCTAGTGCGATGGCTTTTAATCCACGGGGTATTATATCCATTGGTTTGGAATATTTTTTATTTTCCATATATTGGGAATGTCATCATCCCAACTGACGAACTCATATTTTTCAGAGGGGTAGGTCAACCACCAACCAGATTATTAACCAGAATTTAACCAGATTATTAACCAGATTATTAACCAGATTATTAACCAGATTATTAACCAGATTATTAACCATATATTAACCATGTATTAACCATATATTAACCATATATTAACCATATATTAACCATATATTAATGGTATATTACCAACCAATGGTAGGTTGCTCAACCAATGGTAGGTTGGTCGTGCCCATCCCTAGGTATTGCGCCTCCAAGTGGGCGGTGCACGGCTTCTGCGCTTCGCTGCGCACCGAGCTGCTGGAGGCCTATGGCGACAAGGCGCCCAAGGTGCGGACACGACCGGGGGTCAAAATGGGGGACGGGCCACAATGGGTCGTCCAAAATGGTGGAAGTTACCCTCTGGTAAATAAATAGTTGGACCCTGAAAATCACAAATGTTAATGGAAACTAGTCTTCCAAGCCCGATGACTGCCAGGGTCTATGTTAATTTACCAGAGGGTAAGGCAGAAACATGCTGGACTTAGATTGATGGTTGGTGATTTTTTTTGCATATTTGAGCAAGAAATATTAATGGGAAGTGGATGATTCAATGGGATGAGAACTTGATGTGATAAGCGATAAATGAGCGATAAATGATAAAACCAATACATCAGTGGGGGCATGATTTATAACCATGAATCCAATTGGGTAAGCCCAAGCACGAAGCAAGTTTCTGGGTATGATTTTGAATGCCCCCCCACCTCCCAAGTGGTCCCAAGTGGTAAAGTCAGGCAAATGTGGCATGGGTAGGTTACCGTCTGGTAAACAAACATCATGGTAGAAAATCACAATTTTCAACAATTTTTTATCAACTATAAATTGCCATTTTCAATAGCTAGATATGTTAGTTTACCAGCCACTGCATGCTCCAGGTGGTGGTCTCTTGCCCACCAGAGGTGGCTACGGGCCTGTGACCTGGTGGTCGGAGCTTGCGGTGGCCATTTTAGAAGAAATCGATGGATAAATCGATGTTGTTAGAATCTAAATATGTACTTCACATTTGGATATATGGAATAGATTTAACATGATTTAGACATATGTTGAAGAGAATGAATAGATGTGATTTCAGGGATGAAGATTCAATATGCTTTGAGGAATAAAGGCTGAAAGCACGTTAGCCACCGGTCTCTACTGCCCACAGCTGGCCGCAGAACTTTAACCACTGGCAACAATACCAAGTGGGGATGATCTGGGTTTGCCTGAAAACAGGATACATCACCCGATTAATTATTTGGATAGTGATAGGGGACAGAGATCCGTAAATGGACCATTCTCCATAGCTGTCTTAGTTGACTGGAGGGTGATTATCAGATTCCCTATTGACATAGTCATGTTAATTTTTGCATCCTCGTGTTCAGAGAAAGCTATGCAGCTATTTCTTTTTCTCCCCTTGGCCCGAGGAATACCAACCGTTTAAAGTTTGGCAACGACGTCACCGCACAGTTCAACGAGGAGACGGCTGTCCCTTCCACCGTCGCCGCAGAGAAGATTTTGGAATCCATCAGAGAAGCCTGGAGAAACTGGTGATTTCGCTGCCATGTTTCAGCATTTTCAGCCAGATCTGTTGGTCGGTCACTAGCAGTGAATGCCGGTTGCACACACACACATATATATATATATGAATAACTATATATATATACATGTAATTATTGTACATACAATAGTTGACTATACTTAATTGTAATTTTACACATATGATATGTTGTTATAAAAGTTGTTTGCGGGCCTCTTTTCAGAGGGTCATGTATTTTCGGTTTGGTAGATGCGTTTGTGACTAGGGGGCAAAGTATAAAACGCTTGTTGGGTATAGGGCATGTATTTATGCGGAAAAACGCTTCTTCCAAAATTTCCATTTACAGTTGGCCACCATGCTAACCTAAATTGGAGGTACTGTCCCATATATAAAGGATCTATTTTTTGAAGGTGGAACTGTATAACTCCTTACACAACCCTCACATAAACCTTGTATGTGGTAGGTACCTATAATCTAATTCCCAAGCTGCCCGACCTCTCAGCTGCAACGCGGCGGAGTGGACCAGCGGACAGGGTCAATTTCACATGCATTTTAATACTTAAGACTCATGGGTATGATAACTTATAATTAGTTTTAGTATTCTAAATGGAGAGATTTACCTACAGTATTTATCTGGAGGGATATCGGATAACCATGGTTTCTTTTGTTCTGGGTTTGCAGGAGTTGGAGATCTCAGACCTCCAGAAGCTGACGCGTTCCGTTGAGCTCCAACCATCCCTACCTGGATATGGATTTGGTGATCAAAGTGTGAAGGAAGAGAATGAAGAGAGTCAGGACCATGACGGACAAACAGAGATCAGACCATCTGAACTATCTGGTCCGTCGAGATGAGTGTGTTGGACACCCAGCCGTCGGACCCCAAGCCATTGGAGAACGACTTTGTGGAACAACAAGCCCTCGGAGAACTTGCCTTTGGAGAACCAGGAGCCCCCCTTGAAGAACCAGACCTTGGAGGACCAGAACGCAGCCCTCAGGTATCAATCTCTTGGCCCCGGAGAACCCGCTTCAGCCCATGGATGAGAAACATAGTGACCCACCTGAGGTGGACAATGACAAGGATGAGAAGCAAAGCGATGAGCCAAAAGATGATCAGAAGAACGAACCCCTAGATGGAAAACAGAATGATGATGAGGAACAGCGCCAGGCTGAGGATGTCAAAGATGTCGCCAGAGGTGATGAGAAGAAAGGTGAAGAGGAGGCGGCGGCCCGCATGGCTGAGGAGCATAAGGAGAAAGATGAGAGGATGGAGATGGCCCCCATGGTTGAGGATCATAAGCAGAAAGAAGAGACGATGGAGACGGCCCCACTGGCTGAGGATCATAGGGAGAAAGATGGGCAGGCGGAGGCCCCGATAGCTGAGGATGCTGCACATGCGTTTGCCCCTGGGCCTGAGCCTGTGGACTCCTCTCAAACCACGTCCAAAAAGCTAAAAGCTGCTGCCAAGGAGACGCCGGCGAAGCCCGGCAAGAAGGAGAAACCCGCGAAGAAGGAAAAATCCGAGAAGAAGGAGAGAAAGGATAAGAACAACAAAAATCAGAAGGACAACAAAAAGCCGCGCAGCATGGCCGACTTCCTTTAGGCCAACACCAGTTTGGCTTTGTCTTCCGTGAAGAGATCTTGCAAAAGATCACAAAATGTCAGAACACATCGCGCTAGGGGTGGCGTGCAAGAAAAAAGGCAATTCGAACAGGGAGCACTTCTTTGCAAGAAGCATTCACAAACTGACCCGAACTTGTAAAACGCTTGTTGCATACTGGACCACCATATCATGTCTCAAAACGCTTGTTTAGCCCCTGGAGCTAACGACTACGCAACCTAACATGATATGAAGGTGTTATTCAATACTAGTATCAACTGATATGGTTGTATCCACTTTTTGCTTGTTGCTGGTGACTGAACATTATGATGGTTTGGCTGTTTGCAATCGCTGGGTCATGATGCTACCGTCTCCTTCCCTAAGGGTCGATACCAGACCTTGGTTTCTTCTGAGGAAGGCGTGAGGATTGGCCTCTTTTCGAGGGTGCACCAGTGGCTCCACTCCCTGTACAATTGCAGCTTGGCTGCAGCAAGGTGTCCGCCAGTTGCGGCTACTTTTGGAGTCTTGCGGATAGTTAGGATAGTTCCTTGAAATTTTCGCACGAATTTTCAACATGTTCAGATAGTGGAATTTCCTCAAACGGCCAAAACATTCCCAAATCAATGTCTTGAATGAAGGCATTTAACATACCCTTATTAGATAGCTTTGCGTCACATGACGTACTTTTGTCCCTGCTTCATCGATGTATAATGTATGCTCTCCGTTTCGGCATGTTTCGTATCATGAGCGTCAATCTTGGCCCAGGTTTCCCAAGCTACATCGACAAGATTGTCATAGATGGAGTCAAAAAATCCCACCGGGCGCCCCGCTATGGGAATATGCCATCCAAGATGTGACCCGTTGCACCGTCGCGGGAACCTCGATCTGAACGCTGACTCCATTGACCAAGCACAAATGGTAGAGGCAAAGACCTCACAGGCAGAAAAAAAACAGTGAAAAATATTGAAAAGTGAAAAGGTCCAATCGGGATCCCAAATTGGATAGTACCAAGTGGTCTAGGGTCAAATTGATGGGTACCAGTACTGCCCCACGAGTTATCGGATGAATCCTATGTCATACACTACACATTGCCAATCAGCAGAATGCCTGCAAATGTGCCATGGTCAATAGTCAATCCGCTGTTTTTTAGGAAGTAATATGATTTATGATGCCAAATCATGATGGTGGGATGAGCACAATATCATATACCATGTAATTCAACCAGCGCACCTATCAAACAAATGCCTCCATGATGCTTTCAATCTGAGCTGTTTGCCATCGTGGCCAGGTCTCCCCATTGTGGAAGACGCGCATGTGCGAGTTTTGGAAGGTCTGTGTGCCAATGTGTCACTGTCGTGCACAAAGCTCGTCTATGTGGATGATAAAGAAACATACGAAGATCATGTTTGATTCCTGCAAAAGTTCCCAGACCCAACCAAAAAATACCCAGAAACATCCAGAAGCAAGATGATTTGTCATGGTTCTTAAACCTGTTTCAGGCGGGTTTCATCCATTTTCATCCATCAAGGCCAGATATTTGGTCCCTCAAACGCTATAATTTTTGGACGGTTTTATGCTGAAACCACGTTCCCATAGTCATTTCCTTTCTCCCACCTCCATCACATGGTTTGGCTGAAAATCGGGCACGCCCAAATCCATCATGTGCTAGTCATCACGTTCCCCACTATTCAATGGTTTCTTGGGGAATAAATCCATGTAAATGTAAATCCGCAATTTTTCAGACACAAGCGTCATCCACATAATATATGTATATGTATTTATTTATTTGTTTATTTAGAATTAGATATGTAGACAGGTTTATAGATAGATAAGTTAGATAGGTAGGTAGGTGGATGGATGGATGGATGGACGGATGGATGGATCTACACGCACACACACACACCTATACATTACATGTTATACGTCATATTGTTGGCGGTCTAAATGTTTCGTTGACCTATTTAAATCACATGTTTTTGAAAAGTTACATTAATATCACATTGTATCATACGAAATCCCCATTGAATGTGGTAACTGTGGTCACCAAAAAACGCTGTTTACAGGGTATCCGGTATCCCTCAACATCGCTCCGTAGGTCAACAAGTGCCGTAAAGGCGCCGCATGTTCTTATGCCCATGGCGAGGCGGGGAAAACAGAAAACCAGTGGTTCTCTGGTGCAGCTGTTGATGGGGGGTAAAATATGGGGTGGTTTAGGTTTTAATGTGTTTTAACCCCTCTTAACTTTGCCATCTCTGGATTTTCATCCATTATTGTCCTATCGATATTAAATATTATAAGTTCATGGTAATATCTCCATCTTGTCTGGAAATGATTGATGGGGAAAAACGAACTATATAGTTCTATTTTGATGGGCGAACCGCATATCCTTATGGGCACAATTTGATGTTAATGTGTCTTGAAGATGTTTGACAGGCATTTTCTTTAAAGTGTGCTGGTTGGCAGAACAAACAGTCGAGGGTCGAGGGTGTGTTTTGATTTTTTTTTGATGCAGGGACATTGTGAGCATTGCATTACAGTTTCAAAGGAATGCAATAATGATTGCCGATTGCTATCACCACTGCCCCTGGACGGCTGGTATTTCCTGCGTTTTTGGAACATAGATTAACATAGATGCCTGAACTCAACATACGCACAGTCACCCAGCGCGCAGAAAACTGGAGAGACTAGCTTACAAATTGATACTCTCTGGTTATTTAACATAGCCATGGAAAATCCCTTATAAATGGAGGTATTAATGGGAAAATCATCTATAAATTGGCCATTTTCCATGGCTATGTTAAATAACCAGAGGGTAAGGGAAACCATATGAAACCATCCCAATCTCTTCGGCACCCGAGTTTGACCCAGCGCCGTTTGGCAATCCTCAAAAATCTGAAAGGGGCCCACCGGTGGTCTGGGCAAACTATAGCGGCTATAGCGACCTTAGCAAGGCCGACCATGAATGATGGTTACAGTAGGAAAAGAACCATCCGAACTTTGATCATTTCCAGGGATGTAATGAAAAGAATGTGCCCAGATCTGAAACTGTATTGATGCTTGGGAACACGATCGAACCAGAGATGAAAGCACACACCAGGAGGATCTACGCTTGTCTCCAGACTTTGAGCGAACTTCCGTGTGTCCGGTGGGGACGCTCAAGTTTCAAAATGAAACTGACCTTAGTTGGCCATGTTGCTTCAAGCTTCCTGCCTGAGGGAGGCCTGTTTTTAATGGCTGGCCTGGGATCACGTAGGCATGGATCACCAATGGGAAGGGGAGCCAAACACAACTGCAGTAGACTATACTACTACAACCCCCGAAAAAAGGTGACCCGACCCTTTAGAAGAGATCGAATAGATGACGTTCCTGTTTCCGATGCACTCCATGAGGCCCCCCAAATTATCCCAAGTCATCCCCAGCCAAAGTCCCAGCGTGTGACTCAGGCATTCCTGAAGATGGGCCACTGTTCAAATCCCAGTTGCCGTTACGCCCATTCCGTGGACGAGCTTCGGGTTGCGTTGGAACGCCCAGATGGGGAAGCGAAGCTCAAAGGCTGCGCTGTGCTTTAAATTGGGCAACCACATGCCATATCGATTTATGGATATTGATATGGATATTTGATGATATGTGATTATTCGCCCACACCCATGACATACATGCATGTACAGTATGTATATATAAGTATATATATTTATATAAATAGATAGATAGATAGATAGATAGATAAATAGATAGATAGATAAATAGATAGATAGATAGATAGTTAGTTGGACCACGGCCTTTAGAAGGCCGTGGTGTTTTGTACACATTGGTGGGGTGGGGTGGGGTGGGGCATGTAATAACGTTCAATGTGAACTTGTGGAGGAAGGACATGCTTGTCTTTGGCTGCCGGTAGGTGCATGTATGCACGGGTGGGGTGGGGTGGGGTGGGGCATGTAATAGCGTTCATGTGACCTTGCGGAGGAAGGACGTGCTTCTCTGTGGCTACTGTAAGTTCTCTGGAACTTTCCACTCATACGTCATGCTACGTTACTGTAAGTTCTCTGGAACTTTCCACTCATGCGTCATGCCACGCTATTGTAACTGCAACTTTCCACTCATGCGTCATGCCACGCTATGTAAGTTCTCTGGAACTTTCCACTCATACGTCATGCTACGTTACTGTAAGTTCTCTGGAACTTTCCATGCATACGTCATGCTACGTTACTGTAAGTTCTCTTGAACTTTCCACTCATACGTCATGCTACGTTACTGTAAGTTCTCTGGAACTTTCCACTCATGCGTGATGCCACACTATTGTAAGTTCTCTTGGAAGAATTCGAAGCGTTGCTGTGACCGACACAGGAATCAAAACATGTCAGGTTGAATATTTTGAGAATTCTCACAAACCCCAAAAATGGTATTTTCGTGTAGGCGAAATGCTTGTTTTTGAAAATATGAACCAGAATAAGGGGTTAACGGCCTTAAAAACCACATCAAAACATGTCAGGTCAAATTAGTTTGGGAATTCTCAAAAACCTCAAAAATGGTAGTTTCGTCTAGGCGACATGCATGTTTTTGAAAATATGCACCAGAATAAGAGGTTAACGGCCTTAAAAATCACAGCAAACAAAATCCTATTGGCACGAGCACATCAAAAATCATCCATGATACACCGTTGATCACAAAAAAACCCACGGCCTTCTAAAGGCCGTGCTCCTAGTTAGATAGTTAGATAGATAGATGTATTTTGACGTATTTTGCACATTATATGGAGCGTTCCAATGTGCAAGATTGTGCCAGCACCTCTGCCCACATTTTTTTGTGGGTGCTTTGGCTGGCTGGTATCTATGAAAATGCGGTAATTTTCCGCAGTTTCTGCATTCATCTGCAATGTTTTGTTTTTCTTCTCCTCCCCCTCCCCACCATGGAAATGCATTTTCATCCTGCATCATACTACATCCCACTTTTCAGATTGTAAACCGACATAGATGTCCTTCCCTGTGCAGACGGTAGTCTTCTGTGATGGCCTGGCTCATGTTTGAAAGAATGCGGCACAGCGCACTGGACAGCCAACATCATTTTCCCAAGTTTTCGCCGGTACACAGCGCGGCTACTTGATGGCCCAAGGCCCAATTTGCTGAAGAGCAAGATGTGCTCCTTTTTTCTAGACGGTCACTTATCCTCAGACAGGGCGGGATTGGGTGCTGCAGGGCTGGCGGGCTGGATGCATCGTTCGACCGAGGTCGCTGTGTTGTGGGCAAGGCGTGCCGTTTTGCTCATAGTGTGCAGGCACCGGAAGTCGCAAGGAATGTGGGGTTTGTCGGTTGTTTACGGGTAGGATTCACGGGTATTATTTATGCAATGCCATGCGTATTCCGGATACATCAGTATTGTATCAGAATAGAGCCGTGGTTCTCACTTGCCGATTTTGAATCATTTTAATTAGATGTTTTTCTCCTCTTAGGAAGGTGCACCTTTGCTTCGCCATGTGTTCATAGTTAGTTTATTATTTTTTTTAGAAAAAAATATCTGCTCAATAGATGGTTGGCACCACATGGCACCACCCAGTTGTCATGTTGAGGGAACTTGCAAGGATACCAAGGGGTGAGTGGAATCTTACGGTAACGAATGGTTTAGGGCTTAGGAAGTTTTGGCAAACAAAAATTTGAGTTGAAGTTTCCCTCTGGTACTGTTATTTGACATAGCTATGGAAAATCACAAATTTATACAAGTTTTATTAATAGATATTAACATTTTCCGTAGCTATATCAGCTATGTTCAAAATGCCCATGGGCAAGTCGCAGAAAGATGAACCATGGTGAAGAAACCTCATTTAATATCATTCAGGCCTTGCGGACTCCTGGACGGACACTTTTCCAAGCAAAGTCCTAATATGTGGCCATGTTGATCCGCAGGTGTTGGAGTTCCAAAAACCAACCCAGACCAGTTTTTCCCGCATGCATTTTTGGTAGCGTATCATGTATCATGTGGCATGGTAAGGCCAAGACTCCCCAATTTTGCGAGGAATGAATTGTACAAGAAGTTATAACTTATAACCATCCCAAGTGATCCCAAGTGGATCTTTGATTTTGGGTCTACCGCACATTCATGACCATTCTGAAATTCAGCATCCACATTTGCAGTCCATGACAGGAACTGTCCCAATCCGCAGTGCGATTGCTCAGTGCATGGTGATCCTGCTAGTGTTGCCAATGTTGATTGAATATGGTGGATATGGAGGTTAGTTATTCCCCGATCATTGGTGATATTATTGATTATTCATGTGATTCATGTGATTCATTAATATGAATAATGGTCATTTAGTTTCCATGTTTTCATGACTTACTAAACAAGTGTTGACATTACTGCAGTCCAAATGGAGAAGTTGCTTCCGAAGGCTCCCATTTTTGGCGGCCTGGCCTGGCCTGGCATGGTGCAAAATGGCACCATCCCAAAGTCATCGCCATTTTTATGGGTGCGAGTTAAAACCATCCCCAAATGGTAACCCCTGGTAGTTGTGTTTATGGCATATGGTGAATCCCACATCATTAGTTTTTGTCCATTTTCGAGCCCCAATACATGATAATAGATAAAAATGGGTAAATTCATATCAGGCGGAAGGGTCTATTGACTATTGCGATCAAACTGTGAGTTTTAAATGATTGTAAAAGTTCGAACGCTAGCACCACGGCCCATCAAAGACCTTCCTCACCTGCATTTCTGATATTCCACTCTTAGGAACTCTTGCGCAAGGCTGTGCGCTTGCGGCTTCATGTGGAGATTTGGTGCTTCCACGTGGACAGAGTTTTTTGATCCAAAAAATACTTGGATAGATTCAACAATCACCAAAAATCAGCTAGAAGTTCAACTGACTGTGTCAGTTTTCTTTGGATCAATATTTTGAGATTGGATTTCGCCCGGTAACCTGTTGGCATACCATCGGGTGAAACATGTACTGTAGGTACCAGGTCACCAGTTCCACAATGACCCAGTTCGATTGGGTTAAACAATTGGTTATTCTCATTGTGTTGCCCATGAAACTTGCCATATAGGGAGATGTTCCCAATGTTCAAATCAATATCATACAAGATCAATAGCAACGATATATATATATTTATATATAATTATATATATATAATTATATATATATAGAATTATATATATAATTATATATGTATATTTATATATATAATTATATATATATATATATATATGTATTATGCAATTATATGCAATTACCGTAATCCTAGCCAGCAGTTGGATATGATATTGGTATCCAATAAAACGTTGTGAAATAGGTTGCTATCCCACCATTGACGTCTCCTTGGCAATACCTCATTCCCAGGTTCAATTAACAGCAGGGAACCCTTATATACATATTGCCATGGGTTTCTCCAACTAAAAACTATACACATGGTACTCCAAATGCTCATCAATTCCATCATTGTTTGAGTCTGATTGAAAATGATCGAAAAGTGGTGGAAACATGTGGTAACCCCAAATGGTCACTTTAAGAAGCAAAATGCTGGCGAAACCTTGAGTTTTTGAATAAAATATTGGTAGTATGGGTAGTATTCAATGGGATTGAATAGTAGGGGTAGTTTAAGAAGTTTGGGTGTGCCCATGACAAACACATTTGCAGCAGTTTAACCAGTGATAGGCCACCGAAGATGCTCCTCGACCAGCCGGAACCCGGAAGGAGGCAGTGCAGGTGGGGCATCCATGGGTGATGTCAGATGGTCCATTGGTTCAAGATAGGCTGTTCATGGGCTTTCATGGTATGCCTCTTGCGATAACCTAACAGCATAACCTGTTAGATAATCTAACACCCATGACGGATCCATGGTGCTGGTATATATGCTAACATAAAGGGGGTATATTGATGGTAAATGTTACCATATATAGAATACATGGATCCTATGGGACACAATCTAACGTAATCTATCATAATCTAACACAATCTAACCCCAATATGACCATTATACGACCTACATAGCCTACACTTTTTGCCCCATGGCGTCCGTAGATGTCCGTAGGCCTTCCAGAACGGACCTCGTCCATTGGGCCTGGTCGCTGATACCAAGCTCTCGCTGCGGCAGCAGTTTGCCTTGTCCAAAGTGGAGGCGGTGCTGATGGGTTGCTACTGAGGCTACGATTTTCCATCACTTTTCATATGGATTTTCCATGATTTTCCATTTTTCCAATTTTGGAGGTACACTTTTCTAGTGATTTTGGAGGTGGTTCTAGTGATCATTTTGGGTACACGGATGTACACGGTGTGAAGCTCCAAAATTCCATCGTTGGGATGATGTTCCGCGATTTCTTCCGGAGCTTATTGCGATCTAGCTGCCAGCCTCGATGAAGTTGTTGGTTATATATGTCCATGTCCCCTGAAGTTGGGTCCAACAGATGAAAGTAAGGCTGAAACTTGAAACATCTTGAAACGCGTTGTGAACATGACCAATCCTGTAGGATCTGTAAGACTCCTTGAAACAATTACAGTCACACTCTGTACAACTTGGCCTTTTGCTCGATGATGTACTTCTTCAATAGCACATTTCGTAATGAAAGACACATATGCACACTGTCAGTTGCCATCGCCTCTCATAATTGACCAACAGGAAAGGATGCCAGCAGTGGACAGCGGTCATAGTGCCACTCTATTGGAGCAGGCTGTGGATGGGGTGGATCAGGAGCACAACACCCCATGGCCAAAGGCAGATATGGCAATTTCCTGCAGTTTGAGCCGATCTTGAATTTCCATCAACAAAATTCCGCTCAAAGACTCTAGAGAGAGTTGTCTCATGTTGTCTCTAGCTTCCCAAGCAGCTTCCCCTAACAATAGCTGGTTGGTGGTTTGGAACAAGGTTATATTGGGAATGTCATCATCCCAACTGACGAACTCATATATTTTCACAAGGGTAGGTATACCACCAACCAGTATATATATATATATTATATAAATATTATATGTTATATCTATGTTATTGGTATTATAACCAAGATAATCCCATTATAAAGATGATTATCCCATGATTCCCTTAGCTTCCCCTAACAAGATGCCAATCTCGATTCGCAGGCGAAGGAATCGATGTCAGATCGGTCAGCTTCTGAGATCTGAAAAAATCGCTTTGCGTTTCGATGGATCTCTCGTAATTGATCGCACGAATCTCATTGTTGTATGATCAAAAATAATTTATAATATAGTCAAAAAAACATGGGATTTTCCCCAAATTGCTGATCTTAGAATCATTATAATTTATAATATAGAAAAAAACATGGGTATACCCCATAAATGGCTGTAGCTTTCAACTATGACATGACTCTTCTTCTCTTGTAATTCTCGATGGTTCGTAAAAACATGGGTGATTTTGTCCGCCCCAGCTGGGACGATGACATACTAAATGGAGAATTATGGAGGGGGTGATCCCTTAGAAACCATCCAGCTATTGAGGTACCCCATTTACCCCATAAAAATGGACCCCCCCCCAAAAAAACACATATTTTACTTGTGATTTTTCCATAGCTATGTGAAACCCAAAGGGCTTTGGGCTATGGCGGCTATGGCGGCTATGTCACATGGCTCACCAAGGTCGCCCTTGTTGAAACTGACTCAACTGACCCCCGTAGACCTGGAACCCATGAAGGCAGTGGGTTTGAATGGGTGTTTATTGGTTGTGATGTACTTATGTATGGGGATGTTCATGAATTTTAGTGGATGCTCATGGGTTTTCATGGATGTTCATGGGTTTTCATGGATTTTAATCGGTGTTCATCGGTTTTCATGTGTTTAATGGTGGAAAGACTAGTTTTAATACGACAATCATCAAAAAACTATCTACATACTGGGGAAAAGCGGCAACAATAATGAATGGTGATAGAATGGGTATAAAGGGATAGAATCATGGGGTCTCAACCTTGCAAAGAGCCTCGTCCCCATGGGAGGTCGGATTTTTCTGATTTACCAACTGTATGGAGCTGCCATTGGTCATTTATAGTCCATGAGTTTTCCCTTGGACTTAGTCGTGAATCTGTGAAGCACAAGGTCATCCACACCTTATTGAATCTCATTTAAAGAACTGTGGCAATGGTCAATTCGCATATTTTAGCGTGAAAAAACATCTATAACTCAAAGCATCTTAAAACATTTCACTTGCTGACTAGCTTGGTCTTTAAGAGTCAAGTGACAGGAAAGGCGGGCGGCTTCGGCCAGGTTGTCGTGGCAGCCTCCTGGGAAGACGATTTGCAGGAAGCCTCCTGGGAAAATCTGGGCATTCGCGGCAGTTGCCAGATGTTTTCTGGAGAAATTTATGGATCGCTGTTCAGGATCCATTAGCTTGGCGCATGGCCATCCAATTTCTAAAAAGGACTTGTCCAGGCCCCGTGGCTGCCATTCCTTTTTCGCAGGACTCGGGCGAGGCTGTTTCCTCCCTGAAACAGAGGACTTCAGGTGGGGCTGAAAAAGGATCGTTGTGGGTCATAACTTTGAGTGGAGCAAAAATATCCAAAAATGGTGATGTTGATGATGTACATTTACAATCATTTACATCTCATGGGATTTCATGTTAAAAAAAACATGTTCCAACTCACCCCAGTTATCATCGCCCAGGCATCATCGCTTGCTACCGCTGCCAGGTCGCCCTCCACGGTCTCCCAGAGGTGAACAGAAGCGACCTAGGGTGCCCAGGGGGCCCAGGGTGTTGAATGGCTGGGGACTGACTAGCCATGGGGAAGTGTTTTTTTGGGGTTTCATATGATTCAATATATTTCAATATGATTTTCCAGGGGATTTCAGGGGAATATCGTGGGATATCGTGGGATATCACCAACTTCATAATGATACAATGCATACCCTTCTTAAATGGCAATTTTATTATAGGGAGAGTGAGAATCATCCATCGGAAATGGAGGTACCCTATTTTCAGAGAGTTTCTCTGGGTTTCTGCCGGGTGTAAACGATATTGGGGGGATGGGAAGGGATAGACAGTGGGGGATATCACTCAGTCATATCAGGGGCAACAACCAACATTCAACGACCCTAAACCCAGAGGTGACCCTTCCCAGAGGTGACCCCTCCAATATCCTCCAATGATTCTTGGTGAAGATTCCCAACAGAAATCATTGGGAAGTTGCCGAAAACTGGGCTGAATCCTCCTGATGATAAACCCTGGCATTTTTTGATTCGTGGAGTTTCCCCCAAGTAATGAGAACCTGGTATCAAAATGACACCTCCATGAAACAACGGTTGATGAATCTGGCGACGTTCTCACTCCTTACACTTACAAGAAAGATAGCGATTGGATGTTTACCAACAAAAACTGAGGAATATATATATACATAAGTAGGAAATTATAAATCTGACCATTGGATAGATTGTTTTATAGATGTTCACCACCCATGGCTGAGATTGGTGAATTATCCATGAACCAGTTATTTTTCGGCCCTTTTGATGTGGGAATCTAGGGATCCACGGAAGTCCCCCTTGCATACGATCTCCAGAATCCTTCCTATATCCAAGAATTGGCTATATCTATCCAAACCTCCTGTTGTTTCCATTGAATCGGGAACATATGGGGACATGAAGTTGTTCAATAACATATAATATATATAGTGTATCCCAACCAATACACCATATATTATATTTCGAAAGACCATCCCAATCATCAAATTCATTTTTTTTTTCCACCTTTGGAGGCAAAACTTTCGGGTTTTGCCACCGCATCCTGCCCAGGCTCGTCGGGTGTTGCCGCCTCAGCGAGATTGTTTCAGCATGTTTCAGCGCATGCGGTAGGGGGAGTTTATCACCAAAAATAGGGGGTTTACCCTCTGGCTATTTAACATGATGAGTACCAGATGGTACCAGCAAACATGGAGAGTTGACCACCACACATGATCAAAGATGGTGTTTTCATGTGGTTTGAATTATTTTAAGCGTGATGAAATGGGGATACACCCAAGCGAATCCTGCCAACTAGTGCCTCCCAGCAGCAAGCTTACGCCCTTCAGAGATCCCTTCAGCATTTTTTGTTGGAACAGCCAGCTGAACCCCGACTTGGGGTGGGCATGGGGGCCTCACAATGAACAGACTCGGCTGATCATTATTGCAAAGCAGTTGTGTCTTATTATCATTGATTATTGGAAGCCATGGATAGTTATATCATGTTATATCAATATTATATTCTTGTCATTATTGTTATGAGATATTATATGATATTATATGATATTTTTAGTATTATTGCAGTATTACAATTATTGGATTCCATCGAATGTTCCATCCATCCTTTTTCAAAAGGGCCTAAAGCCCTTGGGACGACTGAGGTTGGTGGACACTCTTGCAGACTTAGATGAGTTCCCCACCGCCGTGATTTCGTTTGCTGACCCGGTTTGGAACGGTAACACTATGGCACGAATCTGGGATGGAAGGTCAAAAGTGAATAATTTAAGGTAAGGATGGGTCATTTAGTATCATTTAGCTCATTAGTAGTACTCTTTGCCACCCTGCTTGACAATCTTGTTTTTTTCCTTCAATTTTGGCAAGCTAGTTACTGTATATTGTGGCTTTGTAAAACAATGTCCAACATTTGAGATCATTTGAGTACCTCGTGGCTATCACAGAAATTCAGTAAAACGTCTGTTCCTGTATTCTGCTCTGGCAACCACTGACGATCGAACATGATAGTGGGAGATATTGGGAAATCAAGTGATTCAACACAAAACTGCCCTACCACTACTGATTGCGATGGTTAAATGACTTGAAAATGACTTTGTTCTTGGGCACGCAACCCCTCCCCCAAGAAAGCATGAAATACCTGCATACATTCAAATTCATCGCATGGCATCTGCACATTACAAGCATTACACTACTACACTGACACTAGACTACATTATATACATGCACATTGATATAGATATAGAATGTTATATAACTTAACGATATGCTGAACATATGTACTATATATCACACATATGTTTGATATATGTGTTATAAATGCATATAAATGCTACATGACCAGCACTCCTGATGCTGAGGTCCACCTCCGCATCAAGCCTTCCGGACAAGGGCTCCGAGAAATGTGTTCTTGCTGGGATCCCCTATGAGGAGAGCATGCCATGCAGTAAGGTGAACCCAAGGCCTGTTTGGAATGTATGCTTATTGACAATGACCCTCAAACATGGACACATTTTGTCCACGGGGGATGGTTCAGCAACCTGTTTACCACCCTGGATGACTCGATGATAAGTTGGGAGAGGTCGAGTTTTTTTCTTTCGGGGCCGGCAACGGGGCATAGAATGGCTTTCTTGAACAATGTGGTAAACGCAATAATAACATCCCCAATTCCACTAGAAATGGCTGGTATAAAGCCTCGAGGTTTATGAAGGTTTATTTTTGATTAAACACACCACCCAGAAAGCATGGTAAAAATTAGGGGATCTACCATCTGGTTATTTAACAGTTTGCCATGGAAAATCACAATTTTTAATAGGTAAAATCTATTTCTATGGGCCATCTATACCATGGCTATGTTAAATAACCAGAGGGTACGTACACTTTCTGAAGGGACCATAGATTTGGAGGGATCGGATTACTCACCAATTATGGCTGCTGTCTGAAAAAAGGGCGCCTCCACTCCCAATGGATGATGATCATGATCATTCTCCCAAAAAATTATCCTTATTCAACGGCCACTAAAAAAAAGGGCATGTTTAATGATGTTTAATATGAACGGGGGATGGGATTGACATCGTGTCCCGCAGTCCCGCACTCTCAGGTGAATACAAGTCCTGGCCTGGAATCCTGGAGCCTCTGTGGTCGACATGTTTTTGTGCAGAAGAAACGCCCCATCCGGCAGCTTACGAAAAGTACCCCCCCCTACCATCTGGCAAGAAATTTCTGCAATGAATGAAACTGACCAACTTATGGATGTAGATGGGAACTGTTCAACTCAGCACTGAGGCTTGATTGACCTTGGGAGTCGTCTTGCGCCCAGGAGTCATTTCTGCGGTGTGATCAGAAACCTGCTGCAATAATATTATACATACACACAATGATATACAATATACATATATATATATATATTTAGAAACATACGTGATATTATGTGTATTATCATGATACTATGTGATGTATGTAATAATATAATAATATAGATATATATTATCGAGATATTTAACATTCTGTATATGATTTACTGTATGTATTCTGATGTACTTTTCTATGAGCGAGAAGTCACCGGGCATCGGCCTGAGTCGAGGTCACCGGGAGTCTGTCGTGGTGCCGCTGGGTCGCAAGCGGTTGGTCAGGGATTTGCCAAGGGCCCTGTGGAGGCCAGGCAGTGGATACCCTCTGGTAATGACTAACATAGCTATGGAAAATGGCCATTTATAGTGGATTTTCCCATTAAAAAATGTGATTTTCCATAATTAGCTATGTTAGTTTACCAGAGGGTACAATCAAAAAGTTGAGGAACTCATCATTCGTAACTCATACCATCTGGTTATGACTAACAGTTTGCCATGGAAAATCACCATTTGGTTTTTATAGGTGAAGCATCTATTTCGATTAGGGCCATCTATACCATGGCTATGTTAAATAACCAGAATGTGAGTTGTTCATACATCATTTATCATATGATTGAATTGGATATTAGTATATATATATGGGTGCAAGTCAAAATAGGAGGTCCGGAACAAGCTCCGGGACCACACCCGTTCCATACCCCCGTTCCATACCCCCGTTCCATACCTCCTTGAAGGATCCGTTCCATACCTCTGTTCCATACCTCTGATCCATACGTTATTATATAATTATTATATATATATATATGTATTTATATATATATATGTATTTATATATGTATGCATTTATATATATATATATATATGTATTTTTATATATATATATATACACCTGAATATGTGCAGTCTGATTTTACATTTGTACGCGCATACTTGAGCGCACATACACACATGAGTGTGTACATGCAAGAATAGGTTTACTATGCCCAAGCCCTGTGATTGTGTTGTCAAGTCTGTGCCTGCAGCGTTTGTTGTGTGATGGTAGGGATGTGCTTGGCTGTTGTCAGCTGGCAGTCTAAGAATGGATTGCTTGTAACCCTCCCTCCCTCTCAACCTGTGGCAGGTTTGCGCCTGCACCACTTACAGTTGCTGCCCGCTGTGGCACAGCTGTGATGTTTGATGGTAGAGATGCGCTTGGCTGTTGACAGCTGGCAGTCTAAGAATTGCTTGCTGCGCTACACTCGCTCCACGCTGCCAATTTTGATAAAGATGCGCTTCGTGGTGGCAGAGCTGTGCTGGAGTGGGCCGTTTCGTTCCAGACCCCGTTCCATACCGTTCCATACCCGTTCCAGACCCGGACCACCCATGTACCATCCATGACCCACTTCCGCGTGAACAAACGGCAGGTTCTCACATAGACTGCTCCTAAGCCATCCTTTGCGCGTGGGTTTCGGGAGCCTAGAGTCTTGCTACGCGGGGACACAATCTACCCCATAGGGACCGGGACTTCTGAGTTTTAAGAGTAGGAGGTGGGACCTGCGTGACAGGTCTGAAGCTGAGCGGATAGCTTCACATAGTAGCCAGTGGGTGAGGCTGGCTACCAGTTATGTCCTAGCTAGTGCACGAGCACTAGCCATGCAAGGCAAACCTGCGTTGAACAGGTGTACAACAAGGATGCCGCGCAGATGAGAAGTAAAAATGAGCGGCAGCCAGTGGTAGTAGCTTCAACGTGCATATCCTTGAGATGTAATTTCATTATATATACATATATTACACATATATACAGTATACATATATATTTATATTTATGTACAGCTTATATTTCATCACATTCCAAAGGTCCGGAACAAGACCATTTACGAAACCCCTTCGTTCCATACGTCCGGAACAGCGCGGAACGTTCCATACACAATTTTGACTCATAGCCATATGTATACATTGCATTACGTTGCGTTACATTATATAATACGTTACATTACATCTAATTCTTTATATAAACACAATATAGATACACAATGACACACACACATGTATGTGTATACATGTATAATTGTTTGAATATTATCATTGAACACGTATCTGCCAACAAATCACAACAAATCATTTTACTGTATGTCATTTTTGATACTTTGGGGCAACAAAAATACGGAATGGTTGGTTTGTGATATTGGCTACGGGACACCGCTTGACCTGGTATTTATCGCCGAGGGAAGCTATGCCCAAAATGGGTGATTCTCAGGGTCGGAAGCGACTCTTATTGTGGGATTATTATATATAATATATACATTACGCATCATGAAAGAAACATAATTTGATGTACAGTCAGGATAATGAACCACCATTAATTACCCGTTGATAACCATTAAGGTCTGAAACCAATTTTTCAAAGATTGAACCGCGATTCAGCGGGTTACTATTCGCAACTGTTGTCGAACCACTATTTTATATAATATATATAGTTGTTGATTATTTCACTATTTAACCATCATTTTTGTTTGCAACCTTAAGATTCCAAAGGCCATTAAAATAAATCGAATAAATCATAATAATTAAATATATTTCCCCACCACTTCACTTTTCTGAAGTATTAACTATAAATTATTGCCACTATTTTTACTCCATTGAACAAGGGCAGCGATTACAAGGCTAGACATCGAGGAGGCTATGGAAGTGTGCCGTCCAGGCCTGGGTGAAGCTGATGCTTTCAGTCAATCAGTGACCCGTTGTCGTTCGACCTGAGAGGCTCTGACAAGTTCGAGCAGGCGCTTGCCGCAGAAGCGCGATGTGGCTGAAGTGGCACTGCCAAAGGGGAAAAAAATCGGAGTCAGGTGTACTTCCATGCACTTCCTAAAATTCACCTCGTCCCAGTCATACAAAGTCATACAAAGTCACTAGATCCCCGGAATCTGTCCTATGCGTTGCCAGTCCTGACTCTCCGATGCACCGCGCGTCAGTTGCAATTGGTGAAAATCCACCAGCGGCAAAGGGCTCGCGGCCGGAGTGAGGCGGGACTTGCTAGAGGGGAATATAGGATGACAACGGCAACCAAAACATCGCAAATGTATGGGTAAGATGATAACATGCATACAGATCATCGTCTAGCATGGTCTAGTATGGTCTAGTCACATGGCAAGCGTGTTTTGGGATGCATATATCTTTCAGACATTTTCAGACAGGTTTGCAGGTGGGTTCGTTTGAGTGCAGAGCACCCCAAAATCCTGGAGTAGTTTATCATCACATCACTTTTTCCAACGGAAACGGCCATACAACTTCGGATATCCACCATGTGTGGACAAGAACCAAAGTTTGTCATCATTTTTTTTTAATTTTGAAGAAATCAGAGATTTGGGTATTTTCCATTTTCGGACGGAGGTCTTGATTTGGCCCATCCAACTGGTCCTTTCTTGGCACCGAAAAGGATCCAATGCGGCGGACGCGCAGAGCGAGCGCTGCACCCCACAGTCAGGGACCTCAGTTTTTTTGGGCATCGGTGGCGTTGGGAGAACAGTCCTTAGCCTTAGCAACAAAGATCTGGGTAAATTATAACGACCTCACTGCGACCTCACTAAGAGGAATCATCCCAATATGGCCTTAATTCAGGTTAGTGAAATATGATGATTTAACCCAGACGGATGGGAGAACGGGGAAACTTAGTGGCATACCCTTTGGCAAGTGAAGACAGCTTGGAAAATGGCCTGCCTGTAGATGATTTACCTAGAGATGGATGGTTTTCCATCGCTATGATGACCAGAGGGTACCAACCAAATGGAATGCATGTGGTCGTCCACCAGTTTTGGCTAACCTTATTGGACATCCAAAAAGCAAGCTGGGCCTTGCTCGACGCGAAGAATCCGCCCTGAGCCTCGGGTCGAACCTTGCGATGAGCCGTGCTGGGAAGAGTAACATGGAACCCGCATTTGGTCTGGATTTGGAAGATGCTCCTATCGGAAACAATCATTTTATAGAATGTGGCTCCATTGGGGTAAAACAGTCGTTGGCCTCCCACCGGCCCACAAGGCACAAAAGGCGCTGAGTGTTCTTTCCGAAGGGAGAACAGCCGTTGTTGCGGCGCTGAGCCTGCCCGAGCTGCAGCAAGGGCCCCCAAAGACCAGTGGAGTCTGAACAAGTGTTGAAATTCATTACGCATTAAGATCAACAATGCGTTAACAGAAGTCCTTCTCACCTCTTTGATGTATGAAATGCTGCGGGTGGCTTGAGAGAACACGTTGAATTATAATGTTTAATGAGCGTTATACAACTGGTGTAAGTACCAAATAGGCACAATAATTAGAGACACAGTAATACATATAGTTACTTCTCATGGAGGGACTGAGAGGCAGCTAAGACATGCCTTTGTTATATTTACACAGGCTTACAGATGAAATTGAGAAAACCAATCTAAACACCAGGAATCACCGTGGCACATTTGATGGCAGCTTCCACCATGAAAGTTTAGCGAGTGAATTTGGGCAACTGGAGCATACTGGAGCAATTTCGAGAGGTTAAGTGTCATTTTGAAGCTCCAACAAATGGCTTTGAAATTCGGTTCCATACATTAACTTTTCATGCGTGCATTGGCCACGTTCATGAAGTCTTGATCTCGCATTCTCAGCCGGAAACCCATTTTCATGGAAATCTGCTCGCCCAAGACTGAGCACCTTCCCAATCTGACAAAGAGTCGTCAAGGAGTTCTTAAATGTTCTGTTCTTAGGGGCTTATCGAAGTCCTATAGTTGGCTGGTGCTGGGGGTACCCTGACAGCCTTACAGACAGCCTTACAGATTCCCAAGGAACGCTCAGATGGGAGCCAACCCGCAGCGCGATCGGAGGGAAATTTATCACAGGCCATTGCCTTAGGATGAATTGAGAAGAGGATACAAGAGGAACAAAGGAAAACACACAGATGCATCCCAGATGCACGACCCTTTTAAATAGAGCGAGAGATGGATCACTGATGATGCCATGTCATGCGATTCTCGTGCATAACCTGGTTTGTTTCGATATTTGCCAGGTAAAACATGGGCCATACAAACAGACTTGTTAAACTATTACCCGGACGCCGATTCTGGATGGCGATGGGGAGAGCATATTGAGATTATCAAGAACTGATAGTTTTGTTGGCCTTTCACTTAAATTTCCAGTGAATAGAGTTGATTTAAGAACACGAACAAGAACTACCCTTCAGTGTTCTTAAACATGAGACTGGACAAACCCATTCGATGATGTTCGATGATTTTCCCATTTGAATGCTCATGTAGTTGGGGCATTTCCCAGCGACGTTTGACACCGGAGGGTGACTGTTGGAGTCTCTGGAGCGTGTAAATGGCATTTTTTCAGATTTTACTTCTGGCATCTTCTGGCAATCCCAATCCACCTCATATTAAACCCCCCCCCCCGTGGGCCCGTGGGCCCCACCTTTGGGGTGGTATTTGATATTCGAAAGGGATCATTTTACCATAGGTTACCTCTGATTTTTTTGGGGGATTCGACTACATACAAGGGATATGGTGGGAAAATCATGGAAAATCATGGAAAATCTATCGCTAAGCCAAGGCCAGTCGTGCCGATCGCAGAGAACTATCAGAGCAGGCGCCAAGGATCACCGAAGATCAGCATAGATCGCCTCCTGAACAACTCACGCCTGGCACCCCAAGAATAGCAACATCTGAAGGGAAGAATCAATTTTCAGGACTTTTCTTTCCGGTACATCTGGTCTTCAGGTGTCTCACCTTGTGAAACTTGGCAACCACCAGACCAGTTGCTTTCGGATCGTGATTTCCCATGGATTTTGAGCACAGAATTCCAGTGGTCCACCAGCAGCTGGGTGCTATTTTTATGGGTGCTATGAAGCATCAACATGATGGCTGGTTGATTAGGGTTTACTGACGTTATCATGCCTAGTGTTTAGTACTATATAGCGCATGAAAGAGTAAAGATGAATGAATTTTGTGACGTTTTGTTACTATTTCCGTAGATCTTATAAGCATATAATCACTATAAACTATAGTGGATGTGTAGGTATTTATAATCCTCAAGACGTGTTTTTTAATTGGCATAGCTATGGCCGCGGCCCCGTGCCAGTCCTGCTTGCTGTGCCAACGCGAGCCCGTTCCGGGCTGCAGTTCGCAAACCACGCCGGGACAGCCCTGCGCCGCCTGCAACTGCGGACTCCGAGCATTTTGGCGGCAGAGTGCCAGAGGTGGACAAGGATCCTCCACATCCCCAATATCTACTCATTATTTTGTATCTAATATATTGTTAGTTATACTTTTATACTGTATTATGGCATGTATGACCAACATGATCAACCATGTTTTTTCTCCAAAAAAAAACTTCAGATGGGGGTTCAATTGAAATATCGCATGAATCTATCTCACCCCCTCAATATGAAATGCACTCCGTATAGGCTTCCGAAACGAGCAGGGCAAGTACTTCAACCAGGGGGTTCGATTCGATATACACAATTGATTGACATTGTTTACCATTTCGTGCAGGCCATTCATTTTTTGTAAACCAATGAAGATGTTGAGGAAAGCCCAACTTAGCCCAACAATAATCGAAATGTACAGTACAGTGAATACCAGCAAAAACGGCGGACACAATTTGCTGCTGGTCTCAAATTGTTTCAATTTTTTGGATATCTTGAAATAATGCTCCCCATTGACTTTCATATGGGATGGGTTATTGTAATACATACACACATATACATGTATCATGTTAGGCTGCCAGGATGGCTAGAGTGGATGAACCCTTGGGAAAAAATCCGGAGGTCCTGTTGTCCAAAGGTTGTTGGGTGAAGCTTATGCGCTCTATCCAAACTTTTGCATTTCAAACCTGCACCAAACAGTGACCAAGCATGATATTGTTAATAAGGTGAGTGATTATGCTGGAAATGGAGCCTGTGGGTTTAGTCAGGAGGTCTTCATTTGCAGAAGGGTTTGCTGATAGACTTTCGGTCAGAACTGCTTGGCCCCCATGATGCATAAACATGTGTATGGTATTGTATGGTCAAAATTAAACCCCCACTACTTGACCAACAGTGTTTCCTCCTTCCTACAAACTCTTTTGTTGAATCCGAAGGGTAATTTGTTAAAAGTACCCTCTGGTAATTTAACGTAGCTATTGAAAATGGCCATTAATAGTGGATTTTCCCATTAAAAATTGTGATTTCCATAGCTATGTTAGTTTACCAGAGGGTATGTTAATTAAGGTATCTTTAAGTGGGAAAACACATGACTAGCGCATGACGACACAGTTGATTTCCACAGATCCAGGACATTCCAGGACCGTCTCTGGCCATAGGTTTTCCAGCACAACACCTTCCTGACTGTGGCAGAAGAGGAAGACGAGGAATTCCAAGACCTTCCGTGGGGGTGCTCAACAAACATCAACAAACGCGCCAAAATTACCCTCTGGTAAACTAACATAGCTATGGAAAATCACCATTGTTTATGGGAAAATCCACTATAAATGGTCATTTTCAATAGCTATGTTAAATTACCAGAGGGTATCGTATTGTTGTCCTGAAAAATCGAGAGCTGGGAAAATCATGATCCACCCAGGGGATTTTTAAGTGGGCTAAACTGGATGCGGGTACCCGAAAACCCCGATTTGGAGGCAAACCCGGTGCAGGTGGCTATACTTGTGACTTGTGGGATTCATGGATTCTTTGGTGTAACTGGGTTCACTTGGCACCAGATAAAACTGAGAGGGTGCAACCCAGTGGCATCAGAATATGTCGAAGCTTGCCAATGTCGCCAAGTAGCCTGACATGTTGGAGTCCCAATTTATTGGTGATTAATATATGAATATGGTAAATCATTGCAAATCCAACAGTAAACCTTCAATTTTAGATGGTTTACACATCTCATTTCTGGTGAAATTGGGGATTGTTTATCATTGGCTATGCCACATTAGTGATGATCATGATTTGCATTTTCAAAAGTTCTACCTTCTTCTGTCCATTTGGTTTCCCTTCAAGGGATATCATTTTGTTTCCCTTCAAGGGCAGCGCAAACCAGCGCCGTCAGGATTCGAAGAACAAAGAGCATGTGATCCATGCAATAGGCCAAGCCTGGTTTTAGAGCGGGCCGGGGCTGAGCCGTGCCATGCTTCGAACCTTTGCATCTTTAGTTAGTTTTTTTCCCGGTTCTGAGGGAAGAATCGAGGATAACATGCAGACAATCCAGGAACACCAAGGAATAGTTCGCAAAACCTGTCATGAAGCCCCTCTCAAAGTCCGGGAAAAAAGCCTTGGGCCGTTGGGGCTATGCCTGGCAGAACTCAGGCCAAGATTGGTTTATACATTACATTACACTTTGGATCGCTAAAGGGATCCCTACAGCATTTCGAGGAGGGCATTCATAGATCGGAAAACATGTCTTCCATGGTCCTTTTGAAATAGTTACCGTCTGCCTGGTTTCTTGACGTTTCTCCGGTCAACTGTTCGGGCGAGCGGCCATGGCACGTCATTGGAGCATATTGGAGCTACTTTTGTACAGAATTCCATGGCTCAAGTTGCGCGGAGCGCGGCACACATCACAGCATCCTCGGTGGTTCAGTCAGAGAAGGCGGATGAGTAGCCAACGGCATGAGGGTTGGGTCATGAAACGGGTCACTGTCGAGAGCCAGATCCAAACTGTAATGGAACATACTTGAACGGGGCTACATCCCAAATTTCAAATCCACTTGTAAGAATACGCCTGGTGGCGTCCCTTTCTGTAAGAATACGTCAATTTCAGGGACACCCATACAATCCCATCCAATAATATATAGCGTCTTGACGATCAGACGTGTTTGTTTTCTCATGCGAGTGCTGGATGTTTGCCAATCCAGGAGCCAAGAAACTTGTAACAATTTTGGAAGGCTTCACGTTTTTTTGAGCCAATGAGCCGCTGCAACGCAGTCTGACTCGATCAGCCCGACTTCCGGTGTGGCAGCGTGGAACGCTGGCGATCAGACAGGCATGCAGTTCAGCATGGCGAGTGGAGAGTGAAGTCGAGTCGTCTAGTTGGCTCAGGAGTTGTAAGACGGAGTTGTAAGTGGATGCTTGGGAAACCTGCTGGGGGCCAAAAGCTTCGGGCATGAACCAACACCAGCAAGTCCAGATGTGAGGTCAGTTGAAAGAAGGGCGTGCATTCCAACTGCTCAATGTGAGCAAGACCTTCGCCATGCTTCAACCAACAAGAGAGAAAACAACTAGTCAATCTAGTCTCTGACTTGACACATAAGGTCGATAGGCCTCATGGATGTTGATGATGTTGGTCGGGGTTAAGTGTTAGCGGCAGCATTTTCCAGCAAGAATCAAATTTCTTCATTTTCTAGGGGGCCTCTCATTGGGGTGTAATAGGTTTTCCACCCAGCATTTGAATGTGAATCAGAGGCTGCTAGCACCTGTGGCACTGGACCCTTGCGATCGTCTATGGCATCATGGCTTCACCATGCTTCACCATCCCTTCGACTTATGCGGTAACCATTCCATGTGGTTTACCGCCTGACATCTACCATTTTCTCCATGTGCAGCAGATGTTAAATCTTCGTCATGGCATGTTATGGCCCAGCCGAAGCCCCTGGCATGAGGGTGAATGCCCTGCGAGAACCGTTTTCAAGCAACATTCATCAGGGGTCCAACGCTCCTTTTCCACTGTTTAAAGTGGCGTTGAGCCTTTCAGTTTGTGCTGAACTTGATTGGTGTTTGAAAAGGACGTGCTGGAACCCTGTCTATTCCGGTTTCCTTCGCTGTGCGCTGCACGTAAAAAAGGGGTGCGATGGAAATGGTAAGTCTTTGCGAAAGCTGGTCCTAACGTGCTTTATACGGCATTCTTTTTCAGCAAATCGCAAGCTGAAGAGGCTTCAGGCGAATGACTATTAATGACATTACTGGGTGCTTGTTCAGAGTCTACCACTGCAAAGACGATTGATTGCACATTTTACATCATGTCAAGTCGTTTCATACTCAGGTAGGTTCAGGCAAGGTTTTTGAAGCGGTGAAGATGCTCCGCTGTTGGCAAGTGAAGTTTCCGCAGGATTCTTATAGGCTCTCAGTCAGCAACATGCACTTGTTCTTTTTAGGAAGTCAAGGCACACAGATATAGGGAAAGCGTGGGGCAGAACCTCCAAGAATCCAGGAAGAGCATGGACAGCACAGAGATTCACCAAACAATTCCACCACTTCTTCAAGCCGCGCGGGATTTAAGATGGCTGCGCCTCCTGGATACCATGGATGGGGTCCACCACCCCCTCACCTGGCGCCTGCGCCCTACCCCACGCGGCCTCCCTACCGGCCTCCGCCCTATGCGCCGCCCCCAGGCTATGCCTATCCGACAGGGCCACCAGGGCCACCAGGGCCTGGCTACCGCTATGCGCCACCACCAGAGGCACCCTACCGGGAACCACCACGTGCAGCGCCACCCGGTGGAAGCTATGCAGAGGAGAAGCCAGCAGCTTATCAGGCCTTCAAGCAGCAAGCGGTACGCTTGAGCTCTGCTGGTGCTGAGGTGGGCTTGTCAAATGGCATGTGCCAGGATCGGCATGTGAAAGACTTCCTGCTATGCTTCCAGTGTTGGCTGTGGCGGACCTATGGAGATCCGGAAAGACATGGATCTTGGCGGCTCCAAAGGCTAGACCTCTCAAGGAATACTTTGAGCGATGAAAGCCTTTGTTCCGTTTTGGAAACCTTGAAAGCCCTGGACTTGAGAGTGGGGCGGCTGTTGCTTTCAGGAAACCGCTTGAGAGGCACTGGCCTTGCCAAAGTCACTGACTACATTTGGAATTGTCGAGATCCCTTGGTCGAGCTGGACCTCTCAGACAATGAAATCCACGGTGAAGTGGGCGAAAGCGACGGCATCAGTGGACTACTTCGATGCCTGTACAATCACCCAAGCTATCCAATGATGCAGGAACATCAAAAGGCAGTTCCCTTGCAATTGGGCCTGGGTGGGAACTATATCAAAGATGCTCAGGGATTAATGAATGACATCCTAGCCAAAGGCTCAAAAGATGGGAAAGCTCCAAAGATTCGGATTTGCTCCAGTCCCGAATCCTACCTCCAAGACCATGAGGAGTTCCTTTCCCTCTTCTTGGCTGGCAACTTCCTGCAGCAACGTGGTGGGCCGCCTGGGAATCATGCCCCGGATGCCTCGGCCATCACCCTCCGCAGCCGCTCCCGCCGGCGGCAGAAGCGCAAGGCGCAGCAGGCGCAGCAGGCGCAGCAGGTGGCCCAGGCGCAGCCACAGCCCGCCCCGGTGGCGGTGCCGGAGGCGCCGCCTCCAGCAGCTCCGGCTGCGGAGCATGGGCACCGGCGACGAAGGAAGGAGAAGACAGAGGCCAAGGAGGCACCACAGGCACCACAGGCACCAGCACAGGTTCCCCTGTTGTCAGAGGAGGATCACAAGAAGCTCCAAGCTGAGGTGGGCAAGAAACTTCAGAAACTGGAAGGTTTGCCAAGTGACCAGTCCACCTGCGACATGCTCTCGGAGTTCACGGTGTGCATGTTCGTGGCGCGGAAGGCACCGCAGGAGGTGGAGACAGAACTGGCGTCTTTCCTCGGACAGGATTACGCCACGAAACTGGCAGCCTGGTTCATGAAGCATGTCCGACATCACTATAAGCCTGCGGCTGTCGCTGCAGGCTGGAAGTGAGCTCAGTGAGGCTGCAGAAGCCTGGATTCATAGACTTGGCATGACTTGGCTAAGGTGAAGTGGATAGGTATGTTTCAGTAGGGAGAGCACCAGACACAACCACGAAGTATGTGCAAAAAAGACGGGCCACGAAGCAGCAACTGATTTGTGATTGTGCATTTGACAGAATGAGTTTGAAAGAGGTCTGAGCCAAAGGGGTGCCCAAAAAAGATTTGAATCAATCAGAGCCCACTGTGTCGCACTTCTGCCAGACAAAACGGATGAGTTCCCATGACATCCCGTAACTTTCCATTTCTACAGTATCTTTCTTGGGGCACCTATGCTGCCTGCTGGTGTTTTGATGTTGTTGCGGTTATCGGCCAAGAGAGATTTGCTGCATGAATATTTTCCTGCCTTGGTGTTTGCCTTGATCATCCCTGCGGAAACTCTACTCCCATCCCCAAAATATCAAACACCCAGAGTCACGATGGATGTAGGCGTTCTACACATATTTGGGACATTTTGGGACCATAATGGACCATGGCATAGGGTGTTACCAGGGTGTATCCAATGGTGTATCCAGGGTGTTTAGGGGATGAATCATGATGAATCCCAACCCACGCCGGGGCTCGAAGATTTGCTGGGACACTTTTACCGGGCCCACGGCACAGTTTCGAACTGCGCCATGGATGGAGACACTCGGAGATGGGCTGCTTGCACCGCACTTGGCGAGCTGAAGAGATAGTGGGGAGGTGGACAATGGATTGACTTTCAAGGAAATTTGTAGGAAATCATTGTCTGTACCTCCAAACTCAGAGATATAAGATAGATATAGATGATTATAGATGTAAGATGATGTAAGATCATCAAGTTTAATTATTCAATTCTGGCTAGTTAGTTGTTGTGCGAAGGAGTTTCCTGTCAGGTTTCCCTGAAACACTTCTGGAAATAAACAAACGCTGCGCCATGCTCAACTTGTCCGGGATGGCTGTTGAAACAACTTTTTTTGTTAGGGGGCAGGTTGCCGAGTGCATGTTTTCATCTACTCAATTGGGTATGGGTCAATACCTATAGATACATTTTTAGTGGGATGAACATCCATTTACCAGCTATTTTGGGGTTCACTAGGTACCAGGGTTTTGACCCATCCCCAATTATGGTGAATTCTTGGGCATGTTCCTGCATGCCTATGAAAGGATTAGTTGCAACCAGCGAACAGATTGATAGGACAATGAAATCCAATCAACATTTAGTGGTAACTTACAAAATTATATTGTTTTTATTGGGGTACCTAGCCATACCTAGACCATCCAAGTACTACCCTGAAAAATGGTGTGTTTCCCCCATAATTTCAGTGCTGTCACTATTTTTTGGGAACATTTGGAGGGTCTATTGTAGGTATTACATGGTATTACTATATTTATCTATCCGGGTTTCTTAAACTCGGGGGATCCCCAGTCGTCACCGGAGGCTTTCAATACAGTTGTCATGGTCATCCATGACAACTGGATGATTTTGGGGGTAGCCCCATCCATCGAAACATATCGAAAGCTCCATCGGCCTCGATTCCCAGGTGGGGCAGACGGTGGAAGCCACCGCGATCTCAGGCTGTAACCTGCTTAGAAGTGTGTCTTGGAGCACAGCTGAGGGAAGTACTGGTCACCCATGGTAAGCGGGTAGCCATGGTGCCACTTGCGCCACTAATACCATTGTCGATTGGTTCATTACCTGCTGGTAAACTAACATAGCTATTGAAAATAGCCCCATTTATAGTTGATTTGCCTATTGTAATATTGCTGATTTTCCATAGCTATGCCAACGTTAGTTTACCGGAGGTTCTTCTGAGGATAATAAAATATCCGGTTCAATCCGGGATTCATGTACCAACACATAATAGGAATATGATGGAGTACGGACTAACCAAGCCGTAGAGCGGGATGGGATAGGGGTATTGTTCATAGGGGTATGATTCATGGCGAATTGCTCAAGATATGTGTGATATATCAAGATGATTATTTTCCATGTGGATGACACGGGATGAATCTAATTCTTTGGCTGGGAATGTGTTTGAGCCACCTCTGCAAACAGGAACAAAAAGTATATAATGAGATAATACATGCACATAGACAGGTGGTAAATATTACAATTACAATCTACTTGGGTAAGGGTAAGATCATGTCACTGCAGGGGCGAGAAAGCATCAAGATATCACATCAAGGTTGCAATCTATAGTGAGAAAGCAACAGTGGAAGGACCTAGCAACCATGAATGATTGCTCTCCTGGTATGGAGCTGGACTGACATTGTCGATCTCACGTTGATTAGTCATTGGCCAAACAACTGCGCAACATTTTTCATCTCCATTCTGTACAGTTTGCACGGTATCCTCAAAAATATCACAAAGGCCGATGTTTCAAGGGAAACCTGTTTCTTGACCCTTTCTGATCCCGACTACCCAAGCGCTGAGATGCTCTCAGACGTTGGGGACATGGTGTGCTGTCGGGAGCCATGAGAAAGCAGGTGGTCGCTGATAGGGATTGTTTTTTTTCATGTTTTTTCTATCCCATGGCTTCGGAGGGAGATTCGGAGCTATGGGTATTCATTATCCATTCATATCCATTCCATATTCCCTCTGAAATGGTGCGCCCAGGAGTTGCTAAGATGGGTTTGTCCACACAATTCAGGGGACACCCTGCAATAAGAACCCTCTGTTGCCAAAAAATGACATTCAGAAAAACATGAATAACTAATAACTAAACTAAACTATACTAGACTATTAATTACTCGCGCAGGGGTTGTTGTCATCCACGGGCTATAGTCATTCTCCATGATCACTGATTAAGAATATCGTCGTCGCCAACTACCTCTGGCGCCAACCGATGATTGTGGTTCCACTATGTTCCACTCGCGAGATCATGTTCAGTCAAAGATTTTCCAAGGCCTGTCTGGTGTGGGCATGGCCATGCCTATGTCCATGGCACACGTTGGACCGGGGGATACCGGAAAACTCCGGTGTTCGAGATACCATGAGATACCTGGCACTGCTTGGTGATGTGCAAAGATCAGAAATGATGGAGGGTACAAACGACCAGAATTGATGATTGAACATGAGTGCACATGCCAGCTGCTGGCCGATGATTGAATTGATGATTGAATTGATTCATGGATTTCCGTGTGTTTTGTTTCTATTTCCTAATCATCTAATCCGTTATCTCGGTCTTCAGAATGCGGGGGAAGCTGGCGACCTTCAGCAATACCCACGTATACCCACCACAAGTTGGATTTGGATATTGCATACATATGTTATCAGATATCATCTGTTCAGATATCCCATTCAGATCCATTCAGAAACTGCATCAATGATAGACCTACCAGGACCTACCATTTGAGGTCTGGTTTCTACCACCCATTTCTGGTGATATTGGGGATAGCACATCATCCCACTTTGGGGCCGTTTTGGCCTCAACCGGAAATGCTGGGAACCCCTTCCGAGAGCTCAGAAGAAAAAGGCCATGAGAAATCCTGCAATTGCTTTCTCTATCTTTCTCTTATAAATCTTAAATCAAATAAATCAATCCATTGATGTGGGTTTGCATGAAAATTAGGGCGCCCCCCAAAAAGAACACGTGTTTCACCATGTTTCATTTTTCATCATCATGTCCGGATTAACATTGCCATGTTGGGGTCGTTTCCCTAATGCTTGGTTTCTTAAGTGCCAAAGTTTGCTCGAAGGTTACGAGGCTATGAGGCTACCATTTTGGAACTACAATAATTACCAGGAATCTCAAATTTTGATTGTTGATTACCTCCTTGAATTTCCAGCTTACCACATGGGGGTTTCTTAAAATGGGGGATCCCCAAGTCACCATGGGTTAACCTATGCTGCCCGTTGGCCATGGCCAATCCTGGCAGGATCTGTGGCGGGGCTTAGTCGCCCTCCGTCTCGCTGCGAGATGTTACCTGGCCCACCGTGCCTTGACGCACATGGAGCTTCATAGGGATCCTTGAAATTGATTTTCATATATTACATAATATATCATAATATGATATAATATGATATTTCATGATATTTGTTTCCTTGAAATGGATGATTTTTGCAGATCACATGTTTATTGTTTTTTGTTTGGAAGAAACGTTGTGATGTCCTTGGTGGTGATGTTCTGCCCTTTTTTTGCCGGGGGGATTGCGCCAAGAAACACAAAAACGAAAGGTGATGCGCTCGGGGTTTCATACCAAAGCCGTGTCCCTGAAAGTTGAATTTGCCTGCGTTTTGTTGTCATTTTTTTCTACAAATCTATTTGGGTGTGTCTGAAAATAGTGTACCCCTAAACCCAATGGTTAATGATCATTATCCCTATTAAATGGCTATAATTGGGAATATACCCTATTTTCAGACAAACCCATTTGGATCATTCTTTTGTCTTCGGTTCTGCATTCAAATTTCCGGTGGAAAATGCCACAGAATTGACAGAAAACTCATGGGTGTTCAAAGCCAAGGCGCCGGCGCAAGTCAGGGGAACCTGGGAGCTACACCTGGCGCTGTTTGTTGCCATGACTGGTCTGAGGGGCCTCCAGATATTTCCACTTTTGGTGGATTGAAATATCACTGTTTGGTCGTTGAGTAGAATGCCAGTTTTGCTATTCCCTTCACAAGAAGAAACAAGGATGTTTATTAATGGGCCAATTGCAAGTTTGACCGTGGGCTGCTTGATTCCTGAAATCCCAGAAAAGTTGATGATAGAACCACCAGCAATTTGATTCAGCATTGACAAAATCTGGCACTTGTTTGGTTTGTTGGTAGTGTTTTATTTCTCCAATGTTCGCTTCCACCATGGGATGCACTACAGAATCATCCAGACTGGCCTTTCAAGTTCTTGGGAATGATGACAAAGACCAAACAGCACGAAAAGTTAATGTGATGTGCCCGCATTGTGGACTTCTAGAATTGTCATATAGTTGTTTGTGGGAAGGGGATGCAGGCTTTTGAAGGTGTTTGCAGCCAAGCTAGAGGCTGCCAAAGAGCATGCAGCTATGCCATCTGAATCTGAAGTTGTTTGCTTGTTCCACACTGTGTCCTCCATGTTCTGTTGTGTCCACAACCTTGGAACTATATAGACATGAACTTCATGTAGTCGAGCTTACTTAGCTCAGCCTTGAGCGCGATTGAGCACCAAAACTGCGATGGTTTACCACTCATTGTGAGCCAGCACACCCTGAAATCAATTAGAATCAAAGATGGACAAGTTCTGTGGCAAATGGGAGCAAACAATGAAGACTTTGCCAGATTTTCCATGATTTTCCTATTCAATTTCATATAAAAAACAGCCACTTTTCAGTTCAATCTGTCTTTGAATTTCCTAGGGATTCCAGGTTTCCAGCCGTGTTTTTTCACAGTGCGGGCGTTGCCCGAGGCCTTTTGAAGAGTTGAGCGACCGCTTATCGTGCCAAGCCCCAGCACAGGGGTTGCGCAGCAAGCTTCAGCCCCCGGGACATGAACATAAATGAGGTAAGCCCAAGAATACACCAGTCCCACTTGGGGTTTATATTTTAATATGGTTTATGCAATTGTTGGGATTTATATTTGGATATATCCCTATTTGGGATGTGTAGGCCCGCAGGCCCCAAAAGGTTGCTTCATGGCAGTCAATGGGAAAAAAAATTGGAGAACCAAAGAGTTGCAGAGCAGCAGACGTTGCACTGGGATCACGGAAAATCCCTCCAGCAAAAAGATGCAAAAAGCATATTCAACCTGACAATGGAAATCCACCTTAAGAGATATTTTGAAATTCCATTACCATATATACATACATAATGTATGCATAATTTTGTAATTATATAGATATTTATATTATTTATATAGTTATGTGTATATATATATACATGGGGATGATGCTCCTTAAACAAAAGTCATCTTCAGACACCCAGTTTTTCGATCACCTGAGGCTGGATGGGTTGTTGAAGGAGTCGCCCCTGCGGCTCTTTCGTCCAGGCCCAGCTTAGAAACCCAATGGTTCCTTCGTGGAATGGGAGATGTTGGGATGCCTTGGGACTTGTTCCGATGTTTTGAGGTTTTGTCCAAGAAAATGGTACTATAGATTTAAAAAAATAACTGAAAAATTATCAACATGTCACGGTTGACCATCCTCTCTCCGCCATAACTTGGGAATTGCACTCATTCTTTGGCTAAAACCCTTTGACTCTCCATGGCAGGACCCTCTTGGAATGAGAATGTCGAGCCATCCCCACCTAGTCTCGATTCGGAGCCGCCCAATCTCGAGGCTTTGCTTGTTGGGCGGCTGGTCATTTTCAGCTCAAGAATATCTGAGATTCTCTGCATGGACAATTAAGATGTTTGGACAAGTCCAACTTTTAATAGAAGAAAACCATATGTAGGGCAAACCGTTGCAAGCCCCGGCAAACAATCTGGGACCATCAGCTATACATGGGTTCGTTTTTTCCGTATTGGTAATTTGCCACATTTTGCCACACATCTCGGCACACGTATACCACTTTCTGCTCGAAGATGTCCTTATGGAAGGCGGAAATCCACAGTGAATCTATGGGCACCAAGGACCTCCACTAGTATCCAATGATGTCCATTGGATATGCTTGGCTGGTCAAAATCCATGTTTTTTCCCCATGGACATATACCATCATATACCATTAAATGATATAAAGATTATATACAGTACGTAGTCATACATATTCACACACATTCCCATGAAATTCAACTTTATCCTATTTACCCTCTGGTGAACTAACATAGCAATGGAAAATCACCATTTTCAATGGGTAAATCCACTATAAATGGCCATTTTCAATAGCTATGTGATTTTTTCCTCGTGATTTTTACCCCAAAGATGGGCCCCGGCCGACCACCCCAGTGCAGGATGGCCTGCAGAGTTTTTCACCAGTGGAAGCCTCGGAAGGCAGGGCTAAACCGCAGGGATCACTGGGGATCTAATGGGATATCTACCCGAAATGGTAAACTACCATCTGGTTAACATAGCCATGGAAAATGGCCCATTTATAGATGGTTTACCTATTAAAAATTGTGATTTTCCATGGCTATGTTAAATAACCAGTGTGTAACATGGCTATGGAAACCATAGCCCATAGAAATAGTTGATTTACCTATTCAACTGGTGATTTTCCATAGCTATGTTAGTCTACTGGATGTATATCACGTGGTGCATAATGCCTCATACTGGCATATGGTCATCCTGGAGTAGATGGAAGAATCGAATATGGACATTTCAAAGCATCCTCACTAGACCAGGATTCATTTTTGAAATTTCCATGTTCTATCAACTTCAGGATTATTAATAATATAATGTATATCATACAATAATATGCATAGGCTAGATATATACCTTAGCCTTTCACCAATGGGTCCAATGGCATATATCTTTTTCAGGATGAGTATATATGAGTGTTGTTGAGAATTGTGTCTATATGCCCCAAACACATAACATGCGGATCAAGCATACTGCAATTTGTTTGTGCCTCCAATGGTTGCAGCTAGCTGCTAGCCTTCTGAAGTGAACTAGAGATGTGCATGTTTGTCCCAGAGGGGTTGAAAAATACAATCCAACAGACTCTTGGAGATGGCGATGGAGAGGGACCCCACCTGCGGTATTCCCATACCAGCTCCTACGTGCTGCAATGTCTTCCTCATTTTTTCGAAGACAAGCATCCCATATCAACTCCCATTTTCCTGTAAGATCAAAAACAGGCATGCACCCTTGAGGCGACATTGAACTTGTGAACGACGCGAATCTGCAGGAAGTTTATTACTTGGACGATCGCATCGTGGAAGGTCGCATGCTGCATACTAGGTTGGGGCTGGGGGTTTCCCAACTGCCCTGACCAGAGGTGAACTGGCAATAACATATCCAACAAGTAACTAGTGGGTTTCCCCAACAAAGTGATAACTTGAGACTAAAGTGGTACCCTCCTCACTTAAGCAGCCAAGCGTCCCATCGGCGTGGGCTGACAGTATGTATATGTTTTGCATTGCTTTGTATGCTGAAAATTAGGGGTATGAATAATGCAGTTCTGCAGGAAATTATCTTTTGGAGGTCACCCGAAATCCCCTTCTCTTTTGGCACCAAGCTGATCATGTGGAGTTGTAAAACATCTCTATGTTATACATGGAAGATGTTTATTTAATAGATTCACTAACTAAAGCCTCAATTCAGGTCTTTCATTTCATAAATCCATCATTTCCTTCCCAGAATTGGTTGAAGGACATTCTGAACAGGAAACCCTGGGTTTAGCTCTCTGGGCTTTGAACAACATGGGTCATTAGCAGCTAATTAATTCATTCACGACAGTTGAAGCAGTTGTATTCCCCATATACCCAAATGTTATCGCAGTTATAAACCAACTTAGCTAGCCTCTGGTAAACATACTAAAACTATTTTTCAAATCACCATCTTTAAGTTCGGTAAAACAACGAACTAAAGGTGCCATTTTCCATAGCAAACTGTTTGTCATTACCAGTGATTAATAAGCATGGTTGAACTCTAGGTTAATCCATTAATTATGGAATATTCATTCAGCAGTTACTAATGTTAGTTATTAATGTTTATAGATAATCCATGAATGATGGATGTGGATAACCGTGGATTAATAATTGATTATCAGTGATAATGAAATATGGATATCATTTAATATCCCCTTAACATTATTAATGGATTAACAATGGGGCCCCATTAGGCTTACGAGGGTAACTATGGGGCACCCAATCTGAGGTCCCGAAAGACCACCTGGCACCGCGATGTCGGTGTGGTATTTGGTTTCCTGGCAGCAGGTCCATACCCAAAACCCCTCAGTTTGTCTGAAAACTTGGCCTTTGACCAATAAACATGGTGATATAATGTGATATATATATATATATTTATATAGATATATTTATATAGATATCTTTAATATGTAAACACACACGCACACACACACATATCTATATATATATATATACCCTGGGAGTCCTCGACCTTTAAAACAAAGGGGGTTCGGAGTCGACCTTTGTTTGCCGTGAACCCCCCTTTGTTTGCCAGTTTGAAGCCTAGCTCTTGGTAAAAACACCATTTACATACTACTGCGTGGAAGTATATATGGAACAGACCGTTTTGACACAAAGTCTGTAATAAGATAAGTAGGATAGAATCATCAGATTATCAACCATTCAGCCATATCATATGTGGTAAATTACCATCCACAATATGATTCCATTATATGATTGGGGAGCTGCCCCTTCCAAGACAATTTAAAAATAGAAACTAATACAGGCACAACTCAAAGCTAACACCAATACTTTTTGATTCGACGATAGAGATCTTGGATTCGAGGCATGGACCAGGAAGAGATCTTGGCTCAACACCTGCAACTTTATTTATTATATTGAGCATGGCCCATTTGCACGATATGTGGTTCTGCTCATAGATATGTAGCAGCTATTTGTTGTTTGGTTTTTGATGTGTAATGTCCAGCTCAAGTAATTGCACTTCCCCTTGTAAGGGGCCTGAGTCTTAGGTTTGCTAGAAATTATAGACGGTGTCGAAAATATTCACCTAGATTGCTTATTGAGTGCCAACCAGCCTCACCTGCTTGCTTGCGGTCGGCCAATTAATTCAGCCAGTTGTGAGAAGATTGAGAACTCATTCTTACGGTTGGCATATGCGCTAGGCAATGGCTTCCTGGAAACTGGCAACCGATTTTCTTGTCAGCAAGGGTCTATGATGTTGTATCTGCTCGCCCAAGACTGAGCACCTTCCCAATCTGACAAAGAGTCGTCAAGGAGTTCTTAAATGTTCTGTTCTTAGGGGCTTATCGAAGTCCTATAGTTGGCTGGTGCTGGGGGTACCCTGACAGCCTTACAGACAGCCTTACAGATTCCCAAGGAACGCTCAGATGGGAGCCAACCCGCAGCGCGATCGGAGGGAAATTTATCACAGGCCATTGCCTTAGGATGAATTGAGAAGAGGATACAAGAGGAACAAAGGAAAACACACAGATGCATCCCAGATGCACGACCCTTTTAAATAGAGCGAGAGATGGATCACTGATGATGCCATGTCATGCGATTCTCGTGCATAACCTGGTTTGTTTCGATATTTGCCAGGTAAAACATGGGCCATACAAACAGACTTGTTAAACTATTACCCGGACGCCGATTCTGGATGGCGATGGGGAGAGCATATTGAGATTATCAAGAACTGATAGTTTTGTTGGCCTTTCACTTAAATTTCCAGTGAATAGAGTTGATTTAAGAACACGAACAAGAACTACCCTTCAGTGTTCTTAAACATGAGACTGGACAAACCCATTCGATGATGTTCGATGATTTTCCCATTTGAATGCTCATGTAGTTGGGGCATTTCCCAGCGACGTTTGACACCGGAGGGTGACTGTTGGAGTCTCTGGAGCGTGTAAATGGCATTTTTTCAGATTTTACTTCTGGCATCTTCTGGCAATCCCAATCCACCTCATATTAAACCCCCCCCCCCGTGGGCCCGTGGGCCCCACCTTTGGGGTGGTATTTGATATTCGAAAGGGATCATTTTACCATAGGTTACCTCTGATTTTTTTGGGGGATTCGACTACATACAAGGGATATGGTGGGAAAATCATGGAAAATCATGGAAAATCTATCGCTAAGCCAAGGCCAGTCGTGCCGATCGCAGAGAACTATCAGAGCAGGCGCCAAGGATCACCGAAGATCAGCATAGATCGCCTCCTGAACAACTCACGCCTGGCACCCCAAGAATAGCAACATCTGAAGGGAAGAATCAATTTTCAGGACTTTTCTTTCCGGTACATCTGGTCTTCAGGTGTCTCACCTTGTGAAACTTGGCAACCACCAGACCAGTTGCTTTCGGATCGTGATTTCCCATGGATTTTGAGCACAGAATTCCAGTGGTCCACCAGCAGCTGGGTGCTATTTTTATGGGTGCTATGAAGCATCAACATGATGGCTGGTTGATTAGGGTTTACTGACGTTATCATGCCTAGTGTTTAGTACTATATAGCGCATGAAAGAGTAAAGATGAATGAATTTTGTGACGTTTTGTTACTATTTCCGTAGATCTTATAAGCATATAATCACTATAAACTATAGTGGATGTGTAGGTATTTATAATCCTCAAGACGTGTTTTTTAATTGGCATAGCTATGGCCGCGGCCCCGTGCCAGTCCTGCTTGCTGTGCCAACGCGAGCCCGTTCCGGGCTGCAGTTCGCAAACCACGCCGGGACAGCCCTGCGCCGCCTGCAACTGCGGACTCCGAGCATTTTGGCGGCAGAGTGCCAGAGGTGGACAAGGATCCTCCACATCCCCAATATCTACTCATTATTTTGTATCTAATATATTGTTAGTTATACTGTATTATGGCATGTATGACCAACATGATCAACCATGTTTTTTCTCCAAAAAAAAACTTCAGATGGGGGTTCAATTGAAATATCGCATGAATCTATCTCACCCCCTCAATATGAAATGCACTCCGTATAGGCTTCCGAAACGAGCAGGGCAAGTACTTCAACCAGGGGGTTCGATTCGATATACACAATTGATTGACATTGTTTACCATTTCGTGCAGGCCATTCATTTTTTGTAAACCAATGAAGATGTTGAGGAAAGCCCAACTTAGCCCAACAATAATCGAAATGTACAGTACAGTGAATACCAGCAAAAACGGCGGACACAATTTGCTGCTGGTCTCAAATTGTTTCAATTTTTTGGATATCTTGAAATAATGCTCCCCATTGACTTTCATATGGGATGGGTTATTGTAATACATACACACATATACATGTATCATGTTAGGCTGCCAGGATGGCTAGAGTGGATGAACCCTTGGGAAAAAATCCGGAGGTCCTGTTGTCCAAAGGTTGTTGGGTGAAGCTTATGCGCTCTATCCAAACTTTTGCATTTCAAACCTGCACCAAACAGTGACCAAGCATGATATTGTTAATAAGGTGAGTGATTATGCTGGAAATGGAGCCTGTGGGTTTAGTCAGGAGGTCTTCATTTGCAGAAGGGTTTGCTGATAGACTTTCGGTCAGAACTGCTTGGCCCCCATGATGCATAAACATGTGTATGGTATTGTATGGTCAAAATTAAACCCCCACTACTTGACCAACAGTGTTTCCTCCTTCCTACAAACTCTTTTGTTGAATCCGAAGGGTAATTTGTTAAAAGTACCCTCTGGTAATTTAACGTAGCTATTGAAAATGGCCATTAATAGTGGATTTTCCCATTAAAAATTGTGATTTCCATAGCTATGTTAGTTTACCAGAGGGTATGTTAATTAAGGTATCTTTAAGTGGGAAAACACATGACTAGCGCATGACGACACAGTTGATTTCCACAGATCCAGGACATTCCAGGACCGTCTCTGGCCATAGGTTTTCCAGCACAACACCTTCCTGACTGTGGCAGAAGAGGAAGACGAGGAATTCCAAGACCTTCCGTGGGGGTGCTCAACAAACATCAACAAACGCGCCAAAATTACCCTCTGGTAAACTAACATAGCTATGGAAAATCACCATTGTTTATGGGAAAATCCACTATAAATGGTCATTTTCAATAGCTATGTTAAATTACCAGAGGGTATCGTATTGTTGTCCTGAAAAATCGAGAGCTGGGAAAATCATGATCCACCCAGGGGATTTTTAAGTGGGCTAAACTGGATGCGGGTACCCGAAAACCCCGATTTGGAGGCAAACCCGGTGCAGGTGGCTATACTTGTGACTTGTGGGATTCATGGATTCTTTGGTGTAACTGGGTTCACTTGGCACCAGATAAAACTGAGAGGGTGCAACCCAGTGGCATCAGAATATGTCGAAGCTTGCCAATGTCGCCAAGTAGCCTGACATGTTGGAGTCCCAATTTATTGGTGATTAATATATGAATATGGTAAATCATTGCAAATCCAACAGTAAACCTTCAATTTTAGATGGTTTACACATCTCATTTCTGGTGAAATTGGGGATTGTTTATCATTGGCTATGCCACATTAGTGATGATCATGATTTGCATTTTCAAAAGTTCTACCTTCTTCTGTCCATTTGGTTTCCCTTCAAGGGATATCATTTTGTTTCCCTTCAAGGGCAGCGCAAACCAGCGCCGTCAGGATTCGAAGAACAAAGAGCATGTGATCCATGCAATAGGCCAAGCCTGGTTTTAGAGCGGGCCGGGGCTGAGCCGTGCCATGCTTCGAACCTTTGCATCTTTAGTTAGTTTTTTTCCCGGTTCTGAGGGAAGAATCGAGGATAACATGCAGACAATCCAGGAACACCAAGGAATAGTTCGCAAAACCTGTCATGAAGCCCCTCTCAAAGTCCGGGAAAAAAGCCTTGGGCCGTTGGGGCTATGCCTGGCAGAACTCAGGCCAAGATTGGTTTATACATTACATTACACTTTGGATCGCTAAAGGGATCCCTACAGCATTTCGAGGAGGGCATTCATAGATCGGAAAACATGTCTTCCATGGTCCTTTTGAAATAGTTACCGTCTGCCTGGTTTCTTGACGTTTCTCCGGTCAACTGTTCGGGCGAGCGGCCATGGCACGTCATTGGAGCATATTGGAGCTACTTTTGTACAGAATTCCATGGCTCAAGTTGCGCGGAGCGCGGCACACATCACAGCATCCTCGGTGGTTCAGTCAGAGAAGGCGGATGAGTAGCCAACGGCATGAGGGTTGGGTCATGAAACGGGTCACTGTCGAGAGCCAGATCCAAACTGTAATGGAACATACTTGAACGGGGCTACATCCCAAATTTCAAATCCACTTGTA